AAAACTCTGACGGCTTCAGAGGGGTTCCAATTTCGTTACGTTATGTCACTTGACAGGTCATCACATCGTAATTCTGCTTCTGCTTTGAGGCTTAGATATTGCCCGGCTACAGTTTGTCTCAACTACATATTGACTTCTTTGAAGTTAGCTACCTTCATCCATCCAATTGAGCTCCTATCAGCTCATCCCACTGCCCAGACCTTGAGACCTTTGTTCTATCTTAACAGTTTTGCTTTACAATCACCTGCATTGACCACTGTCAGAATTAACTGTGTTCATTCATGAGTTGTCAGAAGCTCTAAACCACAATAACCTTACTTCACTGGACAGAAGAAGGCTTGCAAAATTTCCCACAGCCTGGAACTGTTCACTTGACTTCTTCAGACCCAATTAGGCCACGGTATTCAATACTCCTACCTCCCATCCCAACCCCACCCCCCAATACACGTTTTGTTGCTAATGATTGAGCAGCTCCTGCGTCTCCAAACCCAGGGGACACCGAGACCGGAGGAGGTACGCCCCGCGCTCCAGCAGCTCACGGTCGGGCGCTAGACACGAACGCACCAACAGTCTATTATCCAACAATGGCAGAAGGTGCCACGCTGCGGACCGGGACGCGGTGTGATGGACACCCCCAGATTGCCTTCCAGGGATGAATGGTGCGAAGGGCCGGTAGGCTACTCCTGCTGACTCCGCCCATGTCAGGTGCAAGGTTTGCGCATCTGAGCTGGGACGTCCTCATTTCGAAAGCTCTTTTATTGCTTGATTCCCCTGACTAATAGAGGAAGAGCCAAGGGATGAGGAGGCTTGTCTCCAATGAGCGCGTCCCACAGGAAGAAGTCACTCGCTTGGGTCCGCAGGGGCGTCAGAGGTAGGACAGGACTAGCTGCCGCGAAGCCGGCTTCGCCGGGGCGTGGGGGCCGGGAGAGCCGGGCTGGTTGCTCCGGGACAGGAGGCAGCGTTGCGCCGCGCCGGCCCCGCCCACTGCAGGCGGGTTCCATTGGCCCAAGGCGAGGCGCGTCATACCAGACGCACCGCGCTGATTGGCTCTTCCGGGGAGCCCCGCCCCCTCAGCTGTATCCGAGCCGGTTCCAGCATCGCCGCCATCTTTGTTGATGTGTCAGCTCCGCGGGGGTCTGGGGAAAAAAGCCGCGGCCGGGAGAGCGCGGTGTCGGCCCCGTCTTCCACCGCCGCCCCCCGCTATGGAGAAGTGGGGCCCCAGGGCGGGGCTCCCGCGGCCTCGCTAGGGGTGCAGACGGAGGCTCGGAGAAGTGGGGTGAGTGCCCGAGGGGCGCCCGGGGCGGACCGGGGAGTCAGGGTAGCCGCGCGGCGAGGCCGCCCCCTTCGCGCGCGGTCCTGCCAGCCCCGGGGTGGCTCCGGTCTGATCGGAGGAGGCAGGCGCTAGGGACGGAGTTCGGGGTCTCTTTTCCCTCTCTCCGTCCCTCGGTCCCGGGCTGCCCGGGGGAGGGGGGAGGGACGCGGCCGGAGGGGTGGACGCGGGTCGGGGGCGCCGGAGCGGTGCCTGGGGAGCGGCGGGATTTGGGCCGATGGCCCGGCCTCCCAACGCGAACTGCGGCTCAGCCCCACCTGCTTGCGATCTTTCATAGACTCAGTCGCCTGTTTCTCTCTTCGTCTAAGTTGACTGTGTGTGTGTGTGTGTGTGTGTGTGTGTGTTTTATGTTGACTGTTGTGGCTACTTTCTACTCTAAACACTGCCCCTATTGTGATTTTAACTAAGAGACGATTCTTTGGGGATTGTGATATGCGAGACCTGGTCTTTTGTTTTTATGTTGCCTTTCTTCCAAAGACATCCAGGCAGGTGCTGACCCTTGGCTGGTAAAGGTGCTGTTCTCAACCTTCTGGCCCTTTAAATACAGTTCCTCATGTTGTGACCCCAACCATAAAATTATTTTCCTTGCTACTTCATAACTGTAATGTTGCTACTGTTATGAATCGTAATGTAAATATCTCATATGCAGGATGGTCTCAGGCGACCCCTGTGAAAGGGTCCTTCGATCATCAAAGGGGTCGCGACCCACAGGTTGAGAACCGCTGGAACCTGTGACATGGGACGGCACCTTCTACCGGTCCCATAGTGCGATCCTGGGGAACCTTGCAGGTGTGGGGGTTGCTCAGCTGTTAACAGTTTACTAAGTACAGCAAATATTCATATCTTTATTTTGTTTAGAGGAAAGAGACCTGCCTTTGGAGTCAAAACATTGATCTTAGAAACTGCCTCTTTCTAATACCTGGGACCCGATGGCATATTTTTACTATTCTGTCACAGAATAGTAAAAATATGCCATCGGGTCCCAGGCATTTTGGTCGTTTTCTTGGTACCTGTGTCATGGTCCCTTGATGCCCAGCTTTTTTATTTCTTCCAAAGGGGTAGACTGGGAGTTTTTCTAAGGAAAAATGTGCAGTAAATCATTGGAACAGTGTTTCAAGAGGTGTGCTGGTTAGTCATTCAGAAAAAAAAAAAAGATCTATTAAATGTTTAGGTATGCCAGTGGGTGTAGCCTTCCCAACTGCTAACGACACCTTGATATGTGCAGTGTTGATCTTGTGGGAAAGATTAAGGTTCTAAAGACGTTGATAGTGAAACTGAACTAGCTGCTTGTGTATCAAGTTTACTGCTCTCTCTGTACAGCTACTTTTCAATTCTTTATTCATCGTCACTCAAATAGAAAACAGGGATGATTGGCCTCGTTCTTTCCCCCCTGCCTTTATGGTCTTTTCATGTTATTTAAAATTCAGTCATGGTATTGAGTAATTCACAAATCTTGAAGATTTTAAAGAATTCAAACTCCTCTTTTACATTGTAACAGGCAAGCATGTATAATTACTGAGGAATCTACCTGGAAATGCCCTGCATGTGTTTATAATGCTTTTATTCCCCAGAAATGCATGGATTGTGTTGAGATTGATTTTATTTTTAGGACCGTGTCTAATTCAGAATACCTGCATGTAAACTTGAAGGTTTCTTTAAGCAGTGTCATGGGCACGTCAGAGTCTTATTTATTGCTAACGCAAAAGGGGTGGTATAGCACAGTAACCACTCTATAACCTTTTATTCCTTTACCCATAAACTCAAGAGTTGCTTTCTGATGCGATACAATGACAGCACAGCTGATGATGATTGCTTAGTATATTTAATTTAAAAACATCTTACAGCTACATGCTGACATGGTGGAGGGAAGGTAGAACAGTGCAGCAGTATTTTCATTCTTTAGGGAGAAATGATAGGACAAAGCAGCCTTATTTACAGACTTAGAAAAATCATCTTTGCCTTTAAAGAATGGCTAGTAATCTGCACTAATTCATGGAACAGTTACATGTTAAAGAATCCTTCATCTGGCCTGTGTTTCTCAGTGCTTAGAGTGTTTGCCTGCACACGAAGGGTCACAGGTTTGATTCCTGGCAAGGTCAAGGGCGTGTACCTGAGTTGCAGGTTCAAGCCCCTGCTGGTCCAGGTTGGTGTGCAGTTGGGAGGCAACCAATCAATTGTGTCTCCCTCCCTCTCTTCCAGTCTCTCTAAAAATCAATGGAAGAAATATCCTCAGGTGAGGATTAACAAAACAAAAAAAGAATCCTTAAATTCTGTTATTTTTATTTGAATAAAGTTTAGATTTTTCTTTTATCTCTTACCTCTAGCTTTAAATAACTAAAATCGATTCTCACATTTTTCATAAATAAGACACAGCTTATAGTATTGTGAATGTTATACTTAATATTCATTTCAGGGCAACAGTGGGAACATAGATAATTGAAATTTACAAATAACCCTCTAATCTTATCATTATTTCAAATTTGTCCTTTAAACTTTATCTCTCAGTTACTGAGATTTTAAATAGTTGGGCTAAGAAGTAAACAAAAGGAAAAATATTGGGGTGAAAGAGCAATAGATATGAAGAGGAAATCAAACCCAGAAAAGGAAAGTGTTGATTGGATTGTGAATGAATTTGTCTGACATTAAAAGACATGGACTGATAGTCTACTATAGGGATGATTATGTAGAAAGTGCTAATGAATAATTTGATTTTTTGGTAAACTACATCATATCAAATTAACCAAGCCCAGGCCAAAGGTGGTTTCAAAATTTAAACAATCAGAACTCCATAATGTAAGGCACACTTATTACTTATCTTTTTTCTTTTTCTTTTTTTTTTTCTTTTTTTTTAGGTTATTAGCCTTTCTTTTTGAAAAGAACTGTAGTTAATTTTTTTCCTCCTTTTAGTTTTCAGATTTTTGGGGAAAATAATTAGCGGAAAATACTTAATGTTTTCTTTGACTTACTAAAATTCAGATTGTGATTTCTATACAAGCAGCTTCAAAGTAAGATTTCTATATTAATAACTTTCTGCTTTAAAAGTTACTATTAGAAATATATAAAATTGCATTGATCTAAGATGCCAAGCTGATAATATGACATATAACTTGATAATGTGATATATGATGTGTCCACTTACCTCTTTTTCCTGGACTCTTGATGGACCATAATTTCTTTCTCCAGGTGTTCTGTCGCGGGATTTGGTACTATGGTGTGAGGGATCCTGCTGCACCGATTGCCTTGAGTCTGTTTTTAACATCTATTTGTGATATAATGCATATATAAATAAATGCACCCTGCCCTGAGTTTTGGGTGCAAAGGTTAACAAACCCCTACAGGGATAATTGACCTTGGCCTCATATGACATACATTTTAAACTGGTGGACTAAAGCCAGCTTTAAAAATCTAGTGATTATATTCCATGTAAAGGAAATCCAATATAATAAAGTTAAATTTTACCCAAAAGCTTAATTACAGTGTGACTACTTACAAAATATTTCTTCCTTTTGATCATACTAATCTGGAATTCTTTGTAGTAGCCAGCTCTTTTAAAAGTAGAATTTGATTTTCATAAATTCACCTTCGGTGAACTTCAGTGTCAAATATTTTCATGTGAAGCAAGGTGTTTATGTTTCTTATACAGGTTCTTTTCTGTCCTATTATTTTATTCTATTTTTAAAAACTTTACCCAGGAAAGTGTTTGTATTTGAAAGTGAATACTATTAAAAATCATTTACTTAGGGGTTGGGATCAAATTATGTTGGGCTACAGATGTCTTTTGATATAATTTTTTGCTTTTGACTTTAATTGTGATATCAGAACCTTGTTAGAGTTGGTCAGAAAGATAAGTTATTCATTTGATTCTGCTGCTTTCAAAGTTTATTCGGGGACTATGTAAAAACCTTTTTAAATCATTACATTGAAGAACAGAATCCTCTCACAGGCTTTACTTGCTTATCTTAATGGACAGTATTTGAAAAATATATAGCTGATATTATTTGAGACTCAAATGGTATAGTTTGTAATTTAAAAATTTGTAGTTGTAAATAATATGCTGAACTGAGTCAGATTTTTCTGTTGGACTTAACACATTGTGGACCAGTAGTTTTATTGCTAGCTTTACCCAGTGGCCAGATAAGTTTCTATTGAACGAGTACAAAAAACGTTTACATAAATGTTAAAGGCAGGCTTTAAAATTAAATACCCATTGCATTTTGAAGTTATTTATTACAGGTTCTTATAAGCTAATATCTTTCTAAAATATGATACTTTGTAAAACACTGTAATACGAAGTAAGAATTCTCGTGATCCATCCACAGTGTGTCAAAAAAACACTCATGAAGCTAGATAGCATTGATAGATCTTCAAATTAAAATACTGTAAACACCAAGAGTAAGAAATTTAACATAGCGCTTCTATATATTGCTCCACTATATCAGAATGTAATCTCGATAAAAGATTTTTATTTATTGCTATGCTCCTAAAATATAGAACAGTCCCTGCACATAATACACGCTGAATTCATATTTGTGAGTGAATTACCTTCTAGTTTGGAACGTATTTCTGACGATACTTTTGTATGAGGCCTTTTACCAAAATCTGTGGATTGGATTCATTTGTATTTGCAATTTATTGAATAAGCTTAAGTTTTTGTTGTTTATACTGCTAATTTACCGGGAAAACAAACCTGTTAAAGACAGTGTTTTCATTTATATGGCTCTTGTATGGGAATAATTTTGTAGAAATGTGAGTTCTTTCATGAAGAAATAAAATCCAAGGTGGATAATGGTTGGCTTGAGGCAAATAAAAAATGTTTCTTGACCAGTTGCCTACAGCTGATGAGCTCCAGTAAGAGCGAAACCAGTTCTCACTTCACTGAAACAATTTAGAAGTGTGAATTGGTCCTGTAGTACTGTGTCAGAAACAAACAGCTCTGGGGAAAAAGGTGCTGAATTAAGAGGATTTTATGACGGTGCTAAGTTGTAAATACTACAGTATTTTCCTCTAATGAGCTATAGTTGCTAAAAGTCAGATAACTGTTACTTTTTACATCAAAAAGCAAAAGATATTGTAACTTTAATTGTAATCACTATATCTAAATGAGTGTTAATTTAATTTATACAAGCACTTATTAAACCAATCTTGTAAACAAGTGTCTAGTTTTACATCCTCCCTCTTTAATCTACTTCTAGATTATTCCATCCTCAGTAGCTTTGATGGCAATATTTCCTCCCCCAACTCCCGAAGAAACTTGGACAGCAAACAAATTGGTCTACATCAGCACTACCAACTGGAGGCCCACAAGAGGACTCAGCTGTTTTTTCCCCCCTGGTTAATCATGGACATAATCAGACTCATCGTGGTCCCACTCCCCTCACCATTCTTGTATAGTTATTTAATCCTTGGTGATAGCGTTGTTACATATATACACATGGATCTTCATTAACCCCTCCTTTTCCTTTTGCCTCCATTTAAGCATCAGGAAACTAAGTTTGAAAGCTAAGTGGTTATCAGATGCCATGTTATATGAAGACTTTTTCAAAGATCATGGGCATATTACTGAGCAACACTATAGAAAGTACTTGTCTTTTGAGGTTAAACTAAGCAGTCTGTAATTTACAGGATGATGGTAAAACAGTCTAAGCCAGGAGTGGGCAAACTTTTTGACTCGAGGGCCACAATGGGTTCTTAAACTGGACCGGAGGGCCGGAACAAAAGCATGGATGGAGTGTTTGTGTGAACTAATATAAATTCAAAGTAAACATCATTACATAAAAGGGTACGGTCTTTTTTTTTTTTTTAGTTTTATTCATTTCAAACGGGCCGGATCCGGCCCGAGGGCCGTCATTTGCCCACGGCTGGTCTAAGCTGAGAAAATCATAAAATCAGGGACTTTTGTTTGTTTGTTTACCTAGATAAATATCCAGCAGAATGAGACAAATTTTTGTTGTTCTGTGCTGTCTTGCACATTACAAGTCTCCTTACAATCTGGTTCCATCCACTAAATGCTGTTCAGTTCCCCAGATTATTGTGTAAACCCAGGGGGTCCCACTCTCATTGAGAACCATGGAATAGCATTTGTAGGAATGAGTGTAAATGCAGTAGAGAATACATTTGTTAGATTTATTTACCTACTTATTATTACTGTTGTTTGAGATTTAAGAAGTTTGACTCAGTTCAGAGGGAGGTTCCTCCTCCTTGCGAGTGCAGGAATGTCACAAGGAAGGCTGTGACTCTGCTTGATGAGTATAAATGCAGTATGTTTTCATTTTCCTGAGAGAGAATTTTGTACTTGTGATGAGGGAAAATTTGGAGGAAGATGTGGCGTTAGAATCAGTTCTTTAAATATAATTAGGCTCTGGAGAGAAGAAAGGAAAGGGCATTCTGAATGGGAGCAGCCATGGGAAGGTTAGTGTGCAGTTGGAATTGTGAGTAGACCAGTCAGGGACTAGGCTTTTAGGAATGTGTTGAGAGATAAGATGGGAAAAGTTGTACAACTGGTTTACTGGAGGAATCACAAGTCTGAAATATGAACATGGAAGGCTTTTGTGTGTTTTTTCCTCAAGGGGTCTCCAATCATACTGTGTAAAATGCCCCCATCTCCCTTCACTTCCCTCTGAAGTGCTGCTCCTTAATAATATGTTGTTTTGATGTCATAACTTTTCTGCAACTTTTGGTTACTAGAGAAAACTCATTCCAGAAATCAAGCCAGGTTTCAATAATTTTTAAAAAATCACATCTTCTTCCTAAAGAAAGGTTCCCAGCAGCTTGAAGAGGAGGTGTAATCTGGCTCTAAAATATGTTCCCTTTCCTTTCTCTAACTAGCCCTTTTGGAGTAGAGAGAAGACCAGTCAGTGGGGGCAGAGTTTTCATTACCCAAACCTTTAAAGAGGGAAGAGATAGCCCTGACCTTACTCTAATTCATCTGGTTGCATTTGATGGTGGGCTCTGTGGAGGTGATGTGTGTGGGTATTTTTAGGGGCGATGTTGTAGCTTCTTGACCCCTTCTGCCATTGAGGACTCAATTCATAGGGCCCTTCTGTGCCCCCCCCCCTTTTTTTGTCAAAAAAAAACAAAACGCACTAAGCAAATATTGGCTTCCACCCCTTCTCTGGATTGAGTGACACTTGTCCTAGTGTTGTCTCAAATCACTTGCCCTTTAATCAACCTTGCTTCTCCATTTGGAGTTGCAGGAAGGAAAACAGGAGGGACGAATGGAATGAGACTGAGAAACCAACAATTCAAGTGTTCCTTATGTGAAGTGGTCAGGCCTAGATTGGGTTGCATGTGGAAACAGTGACAGTAGAAAGGAGGGTATAATTGTAGGAGACATGAAATTGGTAAAAGAGTAAGAAGGCAAAGGAAAAGGAGTCATGACTAAGAAGAATGATACTATTGACAAAATGATTAAGTGGGGGTACTCAGTCATTAGAGCTATTCATTGGACTTTAGCCATTTTGAGTATGAGGTTATGGTGGAACATTCAGTGGAATTGCCTATATTCAGGTGGAGGTTTCAATATAGATACAGAGATAGAGTGAAAATGAAGGTATAGATAATTTGTTGTCTGTAACTTAAGAACAGGACTGAAAATAATGTGGGCATCAACTATGAGTTGTTGGCTCAAGGCATGGAAGTGGGTGAATTGTGGGAGGGAAAATAAAGTTGAGGACTGAAACCCTGGAGAATATGAAAGCTGGATGAGGGGATAAGAGCCAATATTGCTTAGTGCGTGTTTTTTTTTTTTTTTTGACAAAGCATGACAGTAAAAATTCATGAAGTGCTCAAATGAGCAAGTTTCTTCTCACTTGCTCTATCTGTTCTGGAGAGTTTCAATGTCTTTAGAGACTTACTGTCTTTTAAATAGATTCTTCATCTGCTGTCCATTACATTTTGGTCAGCTCTGAGTTCTACTTCAGTTGATACAACATGGACTAGTTATGTTGCTCAGAACCACTTCCTTCCTTAGCTTTTAGATTGATTTCTAAAAAGTTCAAATTCAGCAGCAACACATTTACAAGTTAAAGTGAGTTACTTTGGGGAAGGTAATGCCCCTGTTTGAGAATGATTTTACTTTGTCCTAGATTTTAAAATACAGCATACTCATGAGGTCTTATCAACTTACTGCACTTATTTGTATTGTCTAAACCAAGCTTTAATACTAGTGTGGGCTATGTCTTAGTTATAACATATATGCAGCAAGATAATGGTAATTTCTATCTGACTGTTTGGAAATACGTTTTAATTCAGAGTATTAAGACGAATGTCAATATTAGTTGATACCCCAAAGGACAGTCTATACTCAAAGGCAGGGTATTTGACAAACAAGCTGGTCTTCTCTTCCTTTCCTAGAATTATTCTTCCTGTTTTCTGCATTCCTAGAATAATGTTCCTCAAATGTCACTTCTGTGTCTTAATTCAACAAATATTTGAGAACCTACTGTATGCTAAAGCTCTATAGATTAATCAAGTATGTCCAAGTCGATCATGATTTATTGTCCTTAACAAAATTCACTCCTGTATATCATTCTGATGAGCATTGTACCTAGCTATCTTCTCTTACGCTTTTTCACCATTCTCTGACCACCACCTCCATCAGACCAAAATGAACATGCACCTTTCTGTTACTCAATAATTGAATTTTTCTTTTTTGTTTTTTATAAGTTCACCTTCCATCTGGAGTTATTTCTTTCCTAGTTGCTGTCAAAACTATGACTTGCCCACATTTTACCCAACTTTATCTGATTCCGGTAATTCATCTACCATGTATATGCTTTGTTGATATCTGACAAAATCATCAAGATTGAAGTTGAATTATTTTCCGGAAATAGCTAGAATAGTAACCCTCATATAACAACAACAACAACAACAACAACAACAAAAGGATTCTAACAATATTGAGTTAGTTTTGTAAATATTGCTTTTATGACCTAGGTAGTGCCTCCACTGGAGTTACAGTGAATATTGTTTCTTCTCTTTCTTTTTCTTATTAAAGCTGGGGAAAGTGAAACAGGGAAGGGCTTAGGACAGAAGAAACAGCAGGAGTGAGCCTCGGCGGGGCTGCTTTGGCTCACTGAGAAATAAAAGTCACTTGGTTTTCCTTCTAAGTGGAAGAAGTGAGCCAAAGTACCCTGCCATCACCTCCCTGGAAAGTCAGAGAAAAGGGGGCCTTGGAGACAGGCAGGTTCCGGGGCTTAGCCTGGGATGAGCTGCCTCTGCCCATTACTCTCCTGGTTGCAAGTCTCATGGGGTCCCTAGAATTTAGGAGATGCACACCTGTTGAGCAAGAGGAGGGGGAAGGGAAAGGCGTGGGTGTGCTCTCGGGAGGGAGAGCCAAATATGCTTTATTCTTGATGAACATGTTTGGAATTCACCATGGTACTTCCTGGAGCCCAACCTGGATGAAAAATGAATCCCTGCCAGGGATCCGTACCATAATTTTTTCAAGTCAGCTCTAGGTGTTTGGGCTATAGTAACTGTTTTGTTATTGTTTAGTTTTCCTGCTAAGTAAGATTTTGTCATTGTTCATGTGTCTTGTTTTATTATCTTGGTTTGTAATTTCTCTTCTGATGTTGTCATTGTTATCTTATTTTCCTAATATTTTCCTACAGATTATTGAGGTACTCATTTTCCTCTTGTGGAGCTGAAGGAATTTTAAACCATCTTTGGCATTAATCTCCCAGTTACTAGTCTTAGTCCATATCCAGCATCTTATGGGGGTAACTGAAGAGTGCCAAACTGCATCTGAAGTGGAGTTGTATGACTGAATAAAGAGTATGAAACTTTGTATTGTCCTGTTGGTTGTGGCACACGTGGATTGGCTGTCCTAGTCTTTCTTTTTTTCTAAAAGAGTTTTTAGTGGTAAAATTTGTGGTCTTAGTTATTCCACATCATGGAATACGTGCAAATATATAGGGCGTCTTGGTTTTTAAAAACTTCGGTTTTTTAAACTTTGATGTTTTGGCTTTCTTAGATGTAAAAAGAAGATCAGGAACAGATTTGAAGAAATGCAGAGTGAGTTGGTGCCAGTCAGCATGTCAGAGACAGAGCACACAGCCTCCATTTCCTCTGATAAAAATATTGGGAAAACATCTGAACTAAAGGAAGACTCAAGCAACTCATTCTCTGGTGATGAAAGCAGCAGCATAGAAAATGAGTCCCAACTATTGTCATTAAACTTTGATAAAACTTCATGTCAGCCTAATGAAAGCAGTAATCAAATTGAAGCACAGGAGAACTGTATGCCAGATCATGGTGGAGGTGAAGATTCTAAAACAGACTTATGCTCAGAAAATTCTGAACAAGTAGCTAATTTTCCTGGTGGAGATTTTACAAAGCAAGTTTCGAAAACAAATGAAACCGAACAGACAGTAAGTCAAATATTGGCAGAATTAAGGTCCTCCACCTTTACAGAAGCAGCTAGTCAAAAGACGTACTCAGAAAGTCCCTATGATACAGACTGCACCAAGAAACTTATTTCAAAGATAAAGAATGTTTCAACATCAGAGGATTTGTTAGAAGAAATAGAATCTGAGCTCTTATCTACGGATTTTGCAGAACACCGAGTACCAAATGGAATGAATAAGGGAGAACATGCATTAATTATGTCTGAAAAGTGTGTGCAAGATAAGTATTTGCAGCAGGAACACACCATAAAGAAGTAAGTTTTTTATTTTTTTCAGGTTATTTTTTTCCACAGGAATTAAAGATGGCATTCTTTAAAGGAAGGTATCATCTTGTCCATTTTTAATTCCACAATAGAGCCACACACATTGTAGTTGATCCACAAATATGTATTTACTGAATAATTAAGCAAATGTTGTTGGTTAGTTATTCAATTTGTCTATTTTTTTAGAATGTGGTATTTTATTTGTATTATTTTAGAAATAATAGTTATGCATCAGTGTTTTTATATGGGGTAGTCAAAAATGTTTATAGTTGTAAAATAAATAACACAGTAATTAATAATAATATAAGAGTAGACTGTTTTGCATATTTACAACTATAAACGTACTTTTTGCCCACCTCTATCCTATATAATAAAAGCCTAATATGCTAAATGTCTGTTCATCCGGTCAGCCGTTTAACCAATCAAAGCATAATATGCTAATGATATGCTAAGGCCACTCAACTGCTCTCTATGACGTGCACTGACCACCAGGGGGCAGACGCTCTGACCAGTAGGTTAGCTTGCTGCTGGGGTCTGGCTGATTGGGACTGAGTGAGATGGGTGGGACATACCTTGGAGCTCTCTCGTGGTCCCTCTCTGGCTGGGCAACCTCCTATGTCCCTCTGTGGCCCTAATCATGCACTGGTGGGGTCCCTCGGCCTAGCCTGCACCTTCTCGCAATCTGGGACCCCTTGGGGGATGTCAGAGAGACGGTTTTGGCCCGATCCCGCAGGCCAGGCCGAGGGACACCACTGGTGCATGAATTCGTGCAATGGGCCCCTAGTACTATAGATCTGTCAGATATTAGCATATATAAACAGATATGTATAAAGTCAGTATTTTGAATATGATTAAAATTTCTGTTTTACATGTCTTAATATGTAAGTCTAAAGCAGTGGTTTTCAACCTGTGGGTCACGACCCCTTTGACGGTTGAACGACCCTTTCATAGGGGTCGCCTAAGACCATCCTGCATATCAAATATTTACAATTCGATTCATAACAGTAGCAACATTACAGTTAGGAAGTAGCAAGGAAAATAATTTTATGGTTGGGTCACAACATGAGGAACTGTATTTAAAGGGCCAGAAGGTTGAGAACAACTGGTCTAAAGGAATATTTTATTAAAAGGTGTAAGTGTATTAAAGATCTAGAAATATTTATAAAGACAACTAAAATTTTTCAGGTTTGAAAGAATGTAAAGCATAATGTCAAAATGAAGAGTAGTTCAAAATGAAATGAGAAGTCATAAAATTAAAAATTTTCTTAAAATCTTCATTGTAAATTTATTGGTTTAAAAAGACTAAAATGTAGAGAACAGAAGAATTGGTTGATTATCATTCAGTAAATAAGAACATGGTTATTTTTAGACTTATTGTATTTGTGGAGTTAATTTATATTTTAACAAGTTTTAATTTCACTTTATCTTTTTCTAATAGTATTATAATCACCCTGTATTTTTATTCTAGATTTACATATGTAAATGGGGCCTATGGTTAGGTACTCTTTTATAACCTTTCAGAAAATAAAATAAAACATGCTAGCCTTCAGTGAAATACAGACTGATTCTCTTTAAAAAATGATACAGGAATGGGAGGTGTGTGTAGAGAAAGGGGAGGAGGAAGTTTACATACCAGAGGAGGATGACAGAAGAAAACAGAGCATAATTCAAATATTGCAGGATATGTAATTGCCCTTTATCATAACTTGCTGGATTCCAGTCTTTACTGTTTCAGATTATCTTGCTCAGTGGATCAGTCTTCCCCAAACCAGCTTACCCTTCATTGGTTTATTCATTGACCTTTAATCTCCTCGCATCCAGACCCCTTCTTTTTTTTCTTTTGTCTGTTAATCCTCACCAGAGAATATTTTTCCCATTGCTTTTTCAGAGTGGAAAGGAAGGAGGGAGGGAGAAGGGGAGAGGAGAGAGAAACATCGATGTGAGGGAAACACTTTGACTGGTTGCCTCTCCACTAGGGGTCAGGGAGTGAACCTGCAACCCAGACAGGTGCTCTTCGATCCTTCAATGCGAGGGCTGACACTCCAACTACTGGGCAACACTGGCCAAGGCTTTTTTTCTATTTTTTCATTTTTATTTTCAATTGTGATAAAATAGACAACATAAAATTTACTATCTTAAACATTTTTATAAGTGTACAGTTAGCTAGTGTTAATTATATTCACACTAGAGGCCCTGTGCACAAATTCGTGCATGGGTGGGGTCCCTTGGTGTGGCCTGCGGGGATTGGGCCAAAACCAGCAGTCCATTGCTGCCTGCTGCTCCTGCCTGCCGCTCCTGCTCATCCTGGCCCCGCTGCTCCTGCCCCGGGCTCGCGCCCAGTCAGTCCTGTTCAGGAGAGGCTCTTGCCACCACAGCGGCACTCGCCATAAGCCCTGTGTCTGGTGCCTGTCCCGAGGGGGGTGGGGTGAGACACAATTGGCCCTCCAGGTGGGTGGTGGGTCCGGGATCTGGATCTGTCTGCTGATGTTTGCGCTGGTTGTTGGGAGCCACCTGGCAGACACTTTTAGTATATCATTTCTTCCTTGCAGAGCATCTAGCTTTTTCTTCTTGCAAATCTGAAACTCTATATTAATTAAACAACTTTTTATTTCCCTTGCTTCCAGTCCTTAGCAACCACCATTCTACAGTAGACCCTTGAATAGCACTAGTTTGAACTGTGTGGGTCCATTTTTACATGGATTTTTAAAAAATATGTATAGTACTGTGAATGTATTTTCCTATGATTTTCTTAACATTGTCTTTTCGCTAACTTTATTGTAAGCATACAGTATATAATACATATGACACAAAATATCTGTTAATTGACTGCTTATCGTCAGTAAGGCTTCTGGTCGACAGTAGTCTATTAGTAGTTAAAGTTATACATGGATTTTCAACTGCCCATGGGCCTGTGCCCCAAGCCCCCTGTTTTTCAAGGATCAACTGCACTTTGTTTCTAAAAGTTTGACTACTCTTGATGTTTCATATAAATGAAATCGTATATGGTAATTTGCCATTTGTGACCAGCTTATTTCACTTAGCACCTGTCTTCAGAGTTTATCCATACTGTAGCATGTGTCAGAATTTTCTTCCTTTTTAAGGCTGAATAATATTTCTTTTTATGTATATACCACATTTTGTTTATCCATTCATCTATCAGTGGACATTTGGGTTGCTTCCAGCTTTTGGCTATTGTGAATAATGCTGCTGTGAATATGAGTGCACAAATCTGTTTTGAGACTCCAAGGCCTTTTTTAATACTACCCCAAAACTAATTGCTGCTAGTCCCACTCATATTCTTCCTGGAATGCTGCTATTTTGAATAAACTATATGACTTCGTACTTGAAGCCATCAGTGTTGTTGCCATTCTTGCTTTTTAGGGTAACTCCCTTCTATCTCTACTTATTTTTTTAGACCTTCCCTTTGAGATTATCCCTGATGCCTCTTGCACTTTCCTTAGACCTGGACTCTTAATCACTTTCATGCCTTTTTGTAAATTATAAGATGAACATTTAATAATAATAGCAGCAAACACTTAACATGCTGTTAATCATGCCTGGCACTTTACATATTTTAACTCATAGAATCCTTACAGCAACCCTGTTTGGTATGAACTCTTATATTTTCCAGATGAAGTGACTGAAGCACAAATAGATTAAGCATTTGTTCAAGGTCACATGCTAGTAAATAGCAAAGTTAAAATCTGAGCCTAGTCTGATTTCAGAGGCTTTTTAATGTGGTATCTAAAATGAATTAGTTACAGGTTATTAATTTTCTATATTCCTAATTTTCTAGTTAAATTTAATTCCTCTCTTTTAGTCTCTCCTGTCTGGATAGTGGCAGCATGGTAGACGGGTAAGCACAGTTCTGGTCAGAGTCCCAGAGTTGGAAGATGCCCACTGCCATTTGCAAGCCCTTTTTCCAGCCAAATCAACCTCTGAGTCAAAGATTATCCTTCTGTATGAGGGGGGTGATACTTATCTGATGAGATTGTTTCGTGTATAGTAAGGTATTATAAAAGTGTCAGATATTGTCATTTTAAATCTTGGTTAATCTTTTGTTACACAATGTTTTTAACTCAAATGCTTCATGACTCAGGTTAGTTCTAAAACTGCCTTTCAGTTCCTTTGTCTTAAATTTTCATGAATGTTACATTTTTCTCTTTTCCAAATATTTGCATGATTTTCTTCCTCACTGTAGTCCTGTGGTCCTTAGAAAGGCCTACCCTGACCACCTTATCTAAAAATCACAGCTCAAGTTACTGTCTGTCCTAGAGCCTTCCTTCCTTTAGCTTTGTTAATAGGACTTACTCACTACCAGGGATTTTATTATACATCTATTTGTTGTTTATTTTAATATTCTCCCTTAGAATGAAAGCTCCCTGTGGGCAGTGATGGTTTGCTGATGGACTTTTAAAATGCAGAATAATATAGGTACATAGTAGGTACCCCAATAAGCATTTGTTAAGTGAAATGAGAGATCTTCAAAGTAGATGTAAAGACCTGGGCTAAAGAATTATAGCTGGGTTCAAATCTCAGTTCAATCACTTATTAGCTGTATGAACTGGAACACATTCTAGGCTTCAGGTTTTTAAAAAAATTCATTAAAAAGATAATTATTATTTCATAAACTTTAATTTCATAAACTTGAGTATTAAATGAAATGCAATTAAAGCTAAACTTAGTAAGTAGTAATTGTGCAATAAATTTTAAGTAATAGCTGTTGCTATTAATAATCCTAAAATATCAGCTGTTAACCTTCTTAGATATCTGACCTTATTGCAGGTAATTTTTAAGGTTTTATTTATACTTTTCTAGGGGATTCAAAATTAAACGTCTGCTTAAGCTTTTGCTATTTTACATTGACTACTCTTCTATAACTATTAAAATAGCATTAAAGTATTTTTAAAATCTAAAGCAACATTTCTCAACCTCAGCACTGTTGATATTTGGGGGTAGGTCATTCTTTGTTTGTAAGATGTTTAGTGTCCCAGGCCTCCACTCACAAGAAACCAGTAGCAATTGCCACCCCTGTTGTGGCAACCAAAAATGTCTCCAGACAAATACATGGAGGGGCAAAATTACCCCTCTTTGAGGATTGCTGATCTGAATGGATTCAAGTGCTGAAGGGATGAAGTTCATAATTGTGATGCCCAAAGACATAAGCTTAAAAGAGTGTAGTGTGTTTTTTTCTGATTATATTCACTTGATTTGGAATATACAGATTTCTAGAAAAATGTTAATAGTCTGATTGGCCAGAGAATTTTTTTCCCCCCAAAGTGTAATGTGTTATTACAAAAGGATTTCTTAGGAATGTTGCTTTATTAGTCATAAGTATCTACACCCTAATCTGCATACAGATTATATTCCATATCTCCTTTTTAAATTATGTCTTACTTATACTGTCCTTTTCATATTTAGGTTAATTAAAGAAAATAAGAAGCATCAGGAGCTCATTTTAGATATATGTTCAGAAAAAGACAATTTAAGAGAAGAACTAAAAAAAAGAACAGAAACAGAGAAGCAGCATATGAACACAATTAAACAGGTAAAAAGACAAATCTTTAAAGACTACATTTCAATCCTATATAATAAAAGGCTAATATGCAAATCGAACAGCAGAACGACTGGTTGCTATGATGCACACTGACAACCAGGGGGCAGACGCTCAATGCAGGAGCTGCCCCCTGGTGGTCAGTGTGCTCCCACAGAGGGAGCACCGCTCAGCCTGAAGCCAGCAGTGCTGATGATGTCTGACTAATGATGGCCTAAGCTGTCAGTCGGACATCATCTGAGTGCTCCTGGACTGTGAGAGGGCACAAGCTGGACTGAGGGAACCCCCAAGTGCACAAATTTCATGCACCAGGCCTCTAATTTATAAAATAAGTACATTCCTGGAAATTTGTATATAAATAAAAGTTTTGTCTTTTAAGTTAGAGGGTTGCTTGGTATGTAAAGCATTCTCTTATGAAATGGGAATCAATATTTTTATGTGATTTGTGATTGTATTCTATATTGGTAGAAATCTGAGAAGATGATTTGATTTGGCAGATAGACTGTTTTTACCAATTAAAGGAAAAACAATATATAAAAATTTATATATGGCATTAGAATATTTTTAAGCTTATAGTTTAATATTAACTATACTGTGAACTTTGGCTCTCCTACTTCAGATTTTATCTGGCTAGCTGGCTTCCCCAGCCTTATCCTTCCTCACCTCCCCTCTCCCTCCCCTCTCCCCCACTTCTTCCCTCCTTCCTTTCTTCATGGATCAGTAAAGTGAATATTTAGACTGGTAGCAAAATTGAGCTGCTCTTTTTTTTTTCTGAGCTGCTTTTTCTTCTATAGACAGGATTAGAAGCATTCTAGCCTTAAGAGTCTTCTGTGTCATCTTTCACAGAAAGTTATATAATGAGAATAACAGTAGATAATAGATAATCCTATATAATAAAAGACTAATATGCAAATTGTCCCCTCGACTGGGAGTTTGACCAGGAGTGTCGACCAGGGGGCGGGGCTGACCAGCCAACTGCCCTCAGCCCCTCCCCCTGGCTGGCCCCACCCCTGATCACCCCCCACCCCGATTGGGGGTGGGGCTGGCCCACCAACTGCCACGGCCCCTCCCCCCGGCCGGCCTATCTGATATTTAGTGTAGCACTCTTACTTTCTTACATTTGCTGTTTGCATGATATATGCAAATAGCAACTTTTTTCATCCTTTTAGTTTGTCTATTTATATCTTTGGATCTAAAGCATCTTTTGTAGACAACATATTTGGGATCTTGTTTTTTTATTCCAATCTGACAATCTCTGCCATTTGATATTGTTATTTAATTTGCTGTCATTTAATATTATAAACAGTTGGATTTATATCTTCGTTTTAATTTTTTGTCTCATGTTTTTTTGTTCCCCTATTTATTAACTATTTTCTTTTGCATGTAATATTTAAATTTCTTTTATGATATTTTCACTATACTTTTTAGTTATTTCCATAGTAATTACTCTAGAGCAAGCATGTCAAACTCAAAGGCTAACATGGGCCAAATAAACAAGGTTTAAATGTATATGGGCTGCAAAAAAACAAAAGCTTCAATTTTCATAGGTTTATTTTGATAGAGACATGCAAAGGGCTGAAATAAATGAATAATCATTAACATAAAATAATAGAACATTTTAATGAAAATTAATATTTTTTCTTGAACATTAACTTACCAGACACTGAATAACTGCACAAATTAATAAGTGTAACACAAACTTATTTTTCTTGTTCTCAGAAAGCGAAATATTTCCTGTTGCACACACAAAAAAAGTCAGTTCAAGACTAATGACGTGGCAATTGGCTGCTAAAATATTCGCTGCTAGTATTAGAGGAGAGAAATGGTGCGCCTGTGCGTAGGGCGCTTAAGGGAAATGAATGCAACACAATTATAGTAATCAGTCGTTATTAATAACTAGAGGCCCAATGCATGAAATTCGTGCAAGGGGCTTGGCCCTTGTAGCCCTGGCTTTGTCTGGAAGGTCGTCCAGAAGGACGTCTGGCTATCCGGTCTAATTAGCATATTATACTTTTATTTTTATAGATTATGTATAACAGGATATTGTAAAAATTAAGTCACAAAATTTTTATTAAAATGGTTCTTACATACTGTTATATTGGCTGGGATGCAAAAATATTCGTTGTAGGCTGCGAGTTTGACATGCTTGCTCTAGAGCTTACCATCCATCTAATCAGAATCTGCTCCAGATTTATACTAACTTAATTCTAATGAGATACAGAAATATTGCTAACATTTACTTTTTGAAATATATTCGTTGCTTTCTTTGTGTTTATATTGTTTATATTTATTTGAGGTAGTGATGGTCTGTTTTGATACAGCTATAAAAATAATATGGAAATAATTTTCTTTACAGTTAGAATCAAAAATAGAGGAACTTAATAAAGAAGTTAAAGCTTCCAAAGATAAACTAATAGCTCAAGATACTGCAACTAAAAATGCAGTTCAGCAGTTACACAAAGAGATGGCCCATCGGATGGAACAGGTATTTTTCAAGTCATTATCATGATTAACTTTCTGGTGATTCTCTCTTGTTTATGAAAGTAAACTAATCCTGTTAGATGATTTTGGACATCAGTGGTGTTTTAGGAATGGATAATTTTTATCCCTATAAAAATTAACTTTTTAAAAAATGCTAAAGCAATATAAAAATAATGTGCTACTTACAACAAATAATTTAATAACTTAGGAAATGTGTAGAATGAAAAACAAAAGTCCTTCTTCATTTGTACTTCTCCCTTCCTGCTCCAATCCCTTTATATCCCAGTCCTTGGTCCATAGCTAATAATTGATATTTTGTTATGTATCTTATTACGTATGCCTGTAGAAGTTACAGATATTCATACACTTTTTTTCCTACTTGATGGAGATCTTACTGTATATCTTTTTTTTTATAACTGTTTTCTCCCCTGTTTAATATACCTAATAATTTTAGTTGCCTATTGAATCCTATTGATTATCTTGTTTGTTCATGCTTTATCTTCATTGAAGTCAGTGATAAACATTTTAAACTGGTCAAATCCAAAGACTTTTACTGGCTCTTCTTCCTTTATCTGTGCCTATAAATGGGCTGACATAATACTCCCAACAGCTCTGCGAAGTGGGTGCTGCCATTCTTTAGGGTGGGACCTGGAAATGTGTATGTGTAATATTTTGAATATTTATTTGATGTGATTATCTGCTGTACCAGGACTTCAGGGAACATATTTTTCAGACACTTTTCATAAGAGCATAGGAGCTTTTCCTATAATATCCTGACTCTATAGCATCATCAACTTAGTTACAGTACCAGTTGGTGCTTACCATTATCTGCCATTGAAAACCCCTAAAACTTAAGTAAATATGTGTTTCATCGTACTTACAAACTATGAATTACTTAAGTGAAGGGCTATCTGTAGAAGTTTTTGTATAAAATTTTAGAATTTGGAGTAGAAGCTTACACTAATAGGGAATTTGAAATGAGTATATAGATGTAACAATTCAATTGGGTATTTCTTATTAAATATGAAATACTTTAGAAAGCTTTTCATATATAGGAAATCAGATGATCATTAATTAGTATATTTTATATACTTTTTTTTTGATGAGGGAGCTAAGTTTATAGATTTTAGAAAATTGTTAGCCGTGCAGTAAGCGCCCTGGCAGAAAACAGAAACTAGGGATTTGAGGAGAATTTAGTAAAAGGACTTTTACAAAGGTATGGGCAAGATTTAGGTTGCCCAGTGAGGGAAAATGAAGGGTCCTAGGGCTGCTGGTGGAGCCATTATTTCTCTTTGGGCTAAAGCAGGGGTGGGCAACCTTTTTTCTGCCAAGGGCCATTTGGATATTTATGACATCATTCACAGGCCATACAAAATTATCAACTGAAAAATTAGCCTGCTAAATTTGATCAAACATTTAATTAACTCACCCCTAATGCCTTGGCAGGGCCAGACCGAAGGATTTTGCAGGCCTTATATGGCTTGAGAGCCGGACATTCCCCAACCTTGGGCTAAAGGAATAGGAGAGGGCACAGGTCGTGCAACTCAGAGACAGTGGTTGTATAGAGAGATCACCTGACCAGGGCAGTCTCCTTTCTAACCTGTGGTGGCTCTGGAGGAGCCGGATCTCCCTCTCTGCCTACCCTCCTGATCTCTGTCTAGTGACTCCTGTTGGCTGAACCAACTGGAAGTCTGAGGCAAGGAAACTTGTTGCTGTGGTGTCTGAGGTCCTCTTGCTGGAGCTCAGGGTGGATGGGAAAGAGTGGGAAAGTGGATCCAGGGAAGTAAATAGAAAATAGCAGCCATATCAGCCAAAATAAAAGGAATAGGAAAGGGTAAAATAAATATTAGTGACATTGATTTGCTTATTGTTTATCTATAATTTTGAATTTTTCCTTTCCTTTTTAAAATTTCATGACACAGGTCCTGGGAATGTTGTTCCAAAACCAAAAAATACATTGGTAATATTATAGAAAAATATTTTAAAATTTAGCTTTATTTGAAAAATTTAATGCTAGGTACTTTTTTTCAAAGGCCAATAAGAAATGTGAAGAGGCTCGCCAGGAAAAAGAAGCAATGATAATGAAGTATGTAAGAGGTGAGAAAGAAGCTTTAGACCTCCGAAAGGAAAAAGAGATACTTGAGAGGAAACTTAGAGATGCAAATAAAGAAACTGAGAAAAACACTAACAAAATTAAGTTGCTTTCTCAAGAGAAAGGACGTTTGCACCAACTGTATGAAACAAAGGTATAACTTGCGCTATTGTACCTTATTTGAAATGTATTCTGTTTGCTTTTTCTTAATCAGATAATCATAACTTATCATGGTTAAACCACTATTAAACATCAAGTTGTTTAGTTTATCTTCTAAGTATATGAATGCTTTAGTAATTCCAGTTGTTATCTGTGTGCAGAAAATGTTACTGGAAAAAGATGAGAAATTAACATATGTTGTTTATTAGATAACTTTTTCTTGATAAATATTTTAAACAACTTTTTCATTAAATCTATATGTTGAAGAAATTAGTTTGTGCCTCAAAGGAAGATTTTGGCAAGACATATACATAGTAGTTTCAAAGTGTGAATGGTTTAATAAGTATCATTTAACCAGAATCCTAATGTAACACTCATCATAGAATAGAATTTGCATTTTTATGGGTAAAAAAAACATGTTCTTAGCCCTAGCCAATTTTTCTCAGTGGTTAGAGCATTGGCCCATGGACTGAGGTTCTCGAGTTCAATTCTAGTCAAGGGCACGTACCTCAGTTGCAGGATCCCCAGCCCCAGTTGGGGTGTGTGTGGGAGGCAACCAATCAATGTTTCTCTCTGTCTCTACCCATCCCTTCCACTCTCTCTAAAAATCAATGGAAAAAATGTCCTTGGGTGAGGATTAACAAAATAAACAAACAAACATTGTTCTTAGATGCTGTCCGAAGAGATTTAATTACTGAGCTATTCAGAGTCCTTGTGTTAACTAGCAGCCTGATTGCATGGTCTCATTTCCAGTGGATTATCACTTCTTGATGATGAATGTTATTATTTTTTTAAATATATTTTTATTGATCTAAGATAAGAAGGGAGAGGGAGAGAGAGAAAAACATCAGTGATGAGAGAGATTCTTGATCGCTGCTTTCTGCATGCCCACACTGGGGTTGATCCTGCAACCTAGGCATGTGCCCTGACCGGAATCAAACCGTGACCTCCTGGTTCATAGGTTGATGCTCAACCACTGAGCCATGCTGGCCAGGCTAATGTTATTTTTTATTAATTAACTTTTAGTTCAGGAAAATTGTCATTGTCTCAGAAATTCTGGCAAAACCAATTTAATTCTTATTTTACCTTAAAGCCAGGTGGTTGAGAAGAATAAAGGTATGTTTGTACTTGCAACATATCTAGTTGGTTAAGTTATATGTTAATTATGTCTGTAAACAGGATTTAGGATTTTACTGCTCTCTTATGATTTGCACTTTAAATCAGTTTTATGGCTTATAGGCCATAATAATGTGCCATCTTCTGAATTATTGTGTTATTGTATTGATTATTTTGAGGTGGTATAAACATACACAAATAATTGGTTGACTGTAAAATGAAAAATATGACCTAGTGGTATTATTTTAGGAAGGTGAAACTACTAGACTCATCAGAGAAATAGACAAACTAAAGGAAGAGATCAACTCTCACATCATTAAAGTAAAATGGGCACAAAACAAATTAAAAGTGGAAATGGATTTGCACAAGGTGAGTACTGTGATGCAATGGAAAAATCATTAGAATCAGTTTTAAAAGCAAATGCAGTAATAGTTAATGAGGCATAAAGTTTAATTTAGTGACTCTTGTAGGATAGCCTGGGCCTGCATATTTGGTGATTGCGGACCTTAGGTTTGGCCTTGAGCTCTCAGTCACCATATCTAGTCCCTTAGCAAATCTTGCTGACTGCTCTCAAGTCTTGACCCATCGTTCCCAATGGAAGTTTCCCTGGCTACCCTCTCTAAATTTTCAACACCTGCCCCCAGACTTTCTCATGTCTTTATTTTTACTCCTTAGCACTTGTCACTATCTAATACAACATTTTCACTTATGTATTTTATTTATTATATACCTCCATCTAGAATATCAGCTTGTGAGAGTAGAGATTTTGTCTGGTTTTTTTAAGCACCACTGTTTCCCTAGAGCATAGTACAGTGCCTGGTACATGGTAGGTGCTCAATGAATACTGAATGAATCAGCAAATGAAACGTAGTTAATACCTTAACCAACATACATTTAATGTGATTCTCACTTTTCTCTTACTCAGTTATTTATTTAATAAGTATTTATTTGGCATATAGAAATCTCTCAGTTGCTATTTTTTGAGTGAATGAAGTGAGTACCTCCTGTGTGTCAGACTCTGTTTTAGTTACTGATCATATAGAAGTTGGGGGGAGGGGACACCAGATAAAGTTTCTCTCTCTGTGTCCTCTTGTTGGAATAATATTCTAACATTTAAAAAGTATATATATTAGAAAAAGTCTCCAAATATTTATATTTTAAAAGTGACACTGAATTTTAATACAAGTCAAATTATTACTATAAACAGCAACTAAAAGTATATAAGTAAATACTTAATTGTATGCTAGGTTTATACAAAAACAAATGACATATAAGAAGCAGTATGTGAAGGATAGATGAAGTATAGGTGGTTCAAGAGATGAAAGGAAAGGTATTACAAGTGGAGGAACAATAAGAATAAAGGGGGAAAAACTATTGGTATTTGGGAAGACCACCCTAACTAGAACAGAAAGTTTATATATTATGTTTCCTTTATTAATTCAACAAACGTTACTTGCACCATTATTAAGGGGCAAGTTCTGAGCTAGGTGCTGCTTCCCAAAGGGGAAAACACATAAGCTGTGGTCCACTGTACCAGTTGTTACAATCCAGGGATGCCCTGGATTCTATCAATGGGAAGCACAATAGCAGCATTTGCCCCTTTCTGAAGGGAAGCTATGAGGAAGAGATGTTTTCATTTGAAATCAACATGATAGCCAAACCCCTGGGACTGGTGTGTACTCTGCAGAAGTATGGAGAAAGAGCTGAGGGCAGGGATAGATCTTGGGAAATTGCCACAGGAAACAGAAAGGCAGTTGAGGAGCTAGAGAAGGCAACAATGAAGAGAGACAAAACAGCATACTGTCTTGTAATGGAAACAGGAAGGATGTTCAACGAGTAGGGAGTGGTCAGAACTGGAGCAAAGTCAAGAAGAAGAAACGAGAAAAAAGAAGTAATTGAATTTGACGAGAGAGTAGTCCCTACAAACCTTCAGAATTGTTGTTTCAGGTGAGTGGTGAGGAATAGAAACCAAACTGCAGCATGAATCTATAAGAAAGCAGTTTTTAATAGATACCACGGCCATAACCAAAGAATTGTCTTCTCTGTGTGCTCTCACCAGGTTAGTTAGTAAATTCTAGTGATTTGCTGAGAACCTTATGAAATTTAACTTTATTTAATGGCTTTAATTATTCGGCCCCTCAGTGGCAGTGCTGAGACAAAAACTTTCTCTGCCCTGGTCATTGTTCCTACCATTCATCACATCATTGTGCCCACGTTTGTCACTGTCCTTTTATCAATGCAGGAAACCAAAGATAAACTCAAAGAGACAACAACAAAGTTAACCCAAGCAAAGGAAGAAGCAGATCAGATACGAAAAAATTGTCAGGATATGATAAAAACATACCAGGTATGCTTAACTTTTTTTTCAAATAGATTAGTAACAAATTATGCCAATATTAATATTGTTTCATTAAAGGTTGTATCTGTAATATTTGAAGTGTGGGATGTATTTGGTAGGTCAATTAAATAAAATACAGGTTTATTTCTGATGTCAAAGTACTTGTAGCTTATATAGAGATCTCATTAACTAAATAAAAACACTAGAAAACGTCAGAAGAATAAAGAGTACATGTTTGTAGATGTATAAGTTCAAAAAAACCACTGTGTATTATGTTACATATCTTAGGTATGCAATTCTTGTTCTTGCAAAATTAACATATTTAAAGTCTTTCAGTGAAGTAATCATTTGTAGATATATATACTATGTATTTCTTAATTAACACACTTAATTGCAAAAGCCTTCTTCACTTTTCAAAGTATTAAACTTGAAAAATTAAGTCATTCCTTTAAAATTTATTTCCCATTAGGAGTCAGAAGAAATTAAATCAAATGAGCTTGATGCCAAGCTCAGAGTCACAAAAGGAGAGCTTGAAAAACAAATGCAGGAAAAATCTGACCAGCTAGAGGTGAGTAGCTCTTTGTATACCCTAGATCCGTGGTCGGCAAACTGCGGCTTGCGAGCCACATGCGGCTCTTTGGCCCCTTGAGTGTGGCTCTTCCTAAGCCTTAGGAGTACTCTAATTAAGTTAATAACAATGTACCTACCTATATAGTTTAAGTTTAAAAAATTTGGCTCTCAAAAGAAATTTCAATCGTTTACTGTTGATATTTGGCTCTGTTGACTAATGAGTTTGCCGACCACTGCCCTAGATTGTGTAATAAATACAGGAGAGAAATAATGAGTACTCATTGTCATCTACTTTTAAAGCCTTTGGGAGGATCAGGATCTAGTTTAGTACATAATGATCTGTGGTTTCTTTTAAACTTTCTAAAAGATGCATCATGCCAAAATCAAGGAACTGGAGGATCTGAAGAGGACATTTAAGGAAGGCATGGATGAGCTACGGACACTGAGAACAAAGGTAATTAGATCTTTGGTCGTGACTCAAGACGAAGGGTAAACATTTTTAATTTTGGACTCATTCTGATTTTTAAACTGTTGGGGAAAGGGTATTTAATTAGAAGTTTTCCAAATGAAAGAACTCATAGGAGTAGAATATCAATTCCCTAGCAATAAAATGGACTCTCTTACTGAAATGAAAATGTCTTCTACTTCAACCCCTTCCAAGTGTTCCCAACATTCCTGTTTTTTAACACATTTGCTGGATCTATAACTTATCCTTGGGCTTCTGATCCAAAGGCAGTCTTATCAGCAAATTAATTGGAAAGATAATTGGATTTTAGAACCGTGACTATGAGAAAATAATAGAGTTTCTTTTTACTTCTCCTGGGTATATTTAATAGTCTTGTATACAGTTTTAATTTCTAACAATCTGTTAAGTTCTTTTCAGTGTTTATTGTCTTTATTGTAAGACTAATATCTCTTTTAATGTAATTGTGAAACGGTACCATTGTATATCATTCATTTATTTAGAAATAGGCTTTTAAGTAACCACTTTGAGTTTGCAAGCACAGTAATTTTCAAAGTGTTTTCCCTGTACACTTCTTTGTTCTCCACGCCAGTTCCTTGAGGTAGGTAGGAGAGGTATGTCCTATTTTCAGGTGAAGAAATGGAGATTCAGCAAAAATAAAGTGACATACTGAAATTCCCATGGCTAAATCAGAGGAAATCTGAGATGAAACCCAGGACTTTAACTTCCCATTATGTTTTCTTCACATTAACTAACACTGCTTCAGAATTCAGCTTAGGTTGTTCATATATAACCACTACCTGAAATAGCTAATAATGAACAAGAAAATATTGTTTGTAGTTAAACTTGGTTATGATTTTGATAGGTGAAATGTCTAGAAGATGAACGATTAAGAACAGAAGATGAATTATCGAAATATAAGGAAATTATTAATCGCCAGAAAGCTGAAATTCAGAACTTCTTGGACAAAATGAAAATTGCAGATCAGATACAGGAGCAATATCAAAGGTATAAAATGAGCAATTTCTGTTTGTGCTAATCAACAGGCTTTTTAATTCTATCCCAAGTTTCTATTTTTAAATGCAATTATTGCATCAAACAAGAATAATTTAAAATTTTTACTGGCTAAAAAATTTTAAGTTTTGGTCTTTCTTGAAATTTTTTGGATTATCTTTGAAGTTCCCATCATGGCTTCTAAAAAATCAAAGTTTATATTTCCTGAACATTGTCAGTAGCAGTTTATAAGAGAGAATGTACTTTGGTTTCTTTATTCATTACTTAGCTTTCAAATTCTGTTACTTACACACAATAGTTACTTTTTCTCCTACAAGTTAGATATACATCTATATCTTTATCTTTGTATGCATGTAGCTTGAGGTCAGGATCTGAACTTATTCCTTGGCTTCTTATAAAACCCTTTAGCTAAACTACTCATGACATTACCTGGCAGAGCATGGATTCAGGTTGAATCCAAATACTTCTCATACCGAGGCTGCTGAGTGTTGCTAAAGAAATCTTCACCATCCTCCAGAGTGATACTGCTATAAACCCATGGTTAGCAACCTCCCCTGGGAATATTAATGCACCTCAAATCCTATCATGTGTCCTTAGAGCCTTCTCCCCATCTTCTCAGCATCTCTTCTAAACCTTACGGCTTTCTTCACACTGCTCATCTTCCTTCTCGCTTTACTATTTACTCTGACTGCACAGAAGAAATGGGAGCTATCAGTTGACAAGTTCAAAACGTCTTGCTATTCATCCCCTGAACTTGCCTGCATCTACAACCATTCTTCCTTCATTTCCTTCTGTTATGGAAGAAATGTTCCTGTTCCTCTCTGAATGGAATTGTTCTCTACTTCATCTGTGGGTCCCATGCGCTCCTGCCTTCTCAGGGTCTTCGTTGATTATTCTTTCTTTATCCTTTTCTCTTACTGCTCTCTTTCTACTGACTTTGTTTTCTTTCTACATGTAAATATTATTACAAACATCAAGCTCCAGTGACCTTCGCCTACCTTTCTCCTTTCTTTCACAGCCACACATCTTTATAGGGTCATCTCTACCTGTCCTTCATTTACTAGTACTTCTTTGTTGTTCTAACCTTCTCCACTCATCCAAACTTCTATCCCAACATTCCATTAAAAACTGCTATGCCTCCTTAAATCTAGTAGACACTTCCTCAGACTAAACCTGACTTGAGTTTTCAGTATTAATACCACTAAACTCCTTCCTTCCTCCCTCCCTCCCTCCCTCCCTCCCTCCCTCCCTCCCTCCCTCCCTCCCTCCCTCCTTCCTTCCTTCCTTCCTTCCTTCCTTCCTTCCTTCCTTCCTTCCTTCCTTCCTTCCTTCCTTCCTTCCTTCCTTCCTTCCTTTTCTTTCATTCATTCATTAATTCGTTAGCAGTTTATTGATTTTTAGAGAGAGAGGAAGGGAGAAGAGAGAAACATTGAGGTGGGAGCGTAACATTGATCAATTGCCTCCTGCATGCCTCCTATTGGGGATCAAGTCCACAACCCAGGCATGTGACCTGACCAGGAATCGAACCAGCAACCTCTCAGTGCATGGGACAATGCCCAACCAACTGAGCCACACCAGCCACGGCCCTTACCTTTCTTGTCATGCCTCTGGCTTCATTTTGTCATATGTTCTCCTAGTAATCCTCCCCACTTGTTGGCCACTCTTTCTCAGACTCCTCGTCAGCCTTCTCATTCTCTCAAAAAACTCTTTTTGTCCTTATTTTATCATTACCCTGGATGATCCTAACTATTCTTAAAGTATGCTGCAGGACTGGCACGTCATGTTCAGCCCTTTTTGCTGAGTTCTAAACATGAAAGTATCAAAGGCACCTCAGACTTTAATATGTCCAAAGCTTCATCTTTCCCACCCCAACTATGTTTCTGTGATGTCCCTGAGATGAGTGATGAGTAGCATCCACATGGGACACCTTGGCCCTCTGTCCTTCCCCTCACATATCTCACCAGACACAAAGTATTATTAGTGATGTCTCTTCAATGCCTTTCAGTCTGTTTACTTTCATATTCCTGTTGCTACTACCACTGTCCAAGGCATTCTCAGCTCTCATCTGGAAAACTGCCACGGTTTCTAAATATTTTTCTTCCCTTTTAATCCATTTCCCACACTGCAGTTAGCATCTTTTTAAAAAGGAAATTTTTCTCAAAATATTTCAATGATTGCCTCGTGAGTTCAGATGCCTTAACATGGCTTGGAGGGTCATTAGTGACCTGTTCCTTGCTTCTCCCTCTGCGCCTTCTCCTCTTTCACTCTTATTCCAGCAATAGTTAGTTAACAAATGTTGATTGATTATCTTCTATGTGCTAAGCCCTGTATTAAGTGCCAGGGATATAGTGCAGTCCTTATCCTCATCAATGTTGAACATCTGTTTGTTAGGACCCACAAGAATTCATTCACTTCTTCCCTGCCCAGCTTCCCTTCCTGGAACATAGTATTTGGTTCTCACATTCATTCCTATTCTTCCTTTATGTCAGGAATTAGCAAACTATGGCTGGCAAGCCAAACCTAGCCCAGCACTGTCTTTTATATTACATTTTGGAACATAGCTGAGCTCATTCCTTTATGTATAGTCTGTGGCTGCTTTGACACGATAGTGGCGGCTTCAAACATTTGCAATAATGGCCAAATGCCCCAGAAGCTAAATTGTGTACTGTCTGGGCCTTTTACAAGAAAAGTTTGCTAACCACTACTTTAAGAATTAATTCAAGCATCACTTGCACTAGGCTGGGTGACCCACTTGGTGCTTTCATCATCAAAAATGTTTATTTCACTTAGATAACTTTCCTACCTGACAAAAAACTTTGAAAGCAGGGGCCATGCCTGTCATGCTCCCTTGTATTCCTAGCTCTTAGTTCCTAGTATGTGCTAGTCATTCACAAATAAAAGTACTTTTATAAAGCATTTCCTTCCATGAAAATTCCCAAACAATTAATTTAATGTTTTTTAATGGTTTAATTTTTTTAAAAATATAAACTTTGTTTTTTAGAGGTAAACAAGAAATTGAGAATTTGAAGGAAGAAGTGGAAAGTCTTAATTCTTTGATTAATGACCTACAAAAAGACATCGAAGGCAGTAGGAAAAGAGAATCTGAGCTACTGCTGTTTACAGAAAAGCTTACTAGTAAGAACGCACAGCTTCAGTCTGAATGCAATTCTTTACAGTCCCAGTGTGACAAGCTTTCCTGTAGTGAAAGTCAGTTACAAAGCCAGTGTGAGCAAATGAAACAGACAAATACCAACTTGGTAAGTATAATTGTACATTCACCACTTAAAGCAACATAGCAAGAAGCACCAATTCGATTTCCCTACTAGCATAAACCGAGTGTAGTTGATCTAAGCTCTTTTTTATTGGCACTGACTTTCTTACAAATTTTTCAAATGCTGTGAAGAATGTCGGTTTTCCTTTCAACTTAGGTAGCTTATAATAAAAATTTTCCCTAAAATGGTTATGAAGCATTTCACTTTTGAAAACAAGGAAATCAGGGTTTTTGACATTTCTAACTAGAATTACTATATCTTTTTATTTATTTATTTTAATCCTCACCCGAGGATAGTTTTCCATTGATTTTTAGAGAGAATGGAAAGGAGAGAGAGAGAGAGAGAGAGAGACATCGATGTGCGAGAGATATATTGATTGGTTGCCTACCGCATGCACACAGACCAGGGCCGGGAGCCTGCAACCAAGGTACGTGCCCTTGACCAAAACCGAATCTGGGACCCTTCAGTCCGCAGGCCACTCTATCCACTGAGCCAAACCGACTAGGGCTGGAATTACTATATCTTTTTTAAAAGTACTTTACATTTTTACATTTTTGTACTTTAAAAATGGTTTAATATTTCTGAGTTATGAGAGTGCCTTCAAGTTACTTATAAAAATAATTTGAGATTTTAGTTAAAAAATACAGAGACCTGTACCACATGGTGCTTTTGCATGTGTAAACTGGTAGATGTAGTAATGTACCCCCCTGGTTTGCTATGTGAAGAATTTGAGGAGCTCAGTAAACAAAACCTAGTAAGGAGTGATGACAGAAGAATCTACTATCAAAGGCTTTGTATTTTTAATGTTTTAAACTGAGAAATAGTGGAAACATACAAGTCACCTATTAAAATTGGTGTTTTTGTTTTATCTTAATTTAATATTTAGGAAAGTAGATTGTTGAAAGAGGAAGAACTGCGAAAAGAGGAAGTCCAGGCTCTGCAAGCTGAACTCACTTGTAAACAAACAGAAGTTAAAGCACTGAGTACCCAAGTTGAAGAATTAAAAGATGATTTAGTAACTCAGAGACGTAAGCATGCCTCTAGTGTCAAGGACCTTACCAAACAACTTCAGCAAGGTAGGAAAGTCCTCCACACTTAGACCTGGAATGTGTTTTGTTTCTTAAAATCTTTAGGATTTATAGAAAAAATACTTTTCACATCAGGTTCTTCCACATTGATTAGAGCCTTATGTTCTTTTTAATGTACTAATGTTCATAAACCAAATTGCTAAACTTCTTGCAGTTACATGAATAGCCTGTAGCATCTTCTATGCTAAAGGACATTTGTTCATGGAACTTAAGGCAGTAGTGTCGGAATATTTTTGATCACGTACTCCTAGTAAAGATTACTTGAGCACTTGTTCTCTAATTTTATATATTTATAAATTTTAAACATGTATTATTCTATTTGATGTATATTAGAATGTTACCAATGCATATTAGACAACAAGAGAAATAGAAATTTTAAAAGGTCAGATTAAATATAAGTATTAATAGTAGTTCTAAAATTTTTCCCCTACACTTGTGTATGAATTGTTTTGTGCAGCATCTTTTGAACTTGCACCCCATATAGTAGACCTCTAACTTAGAGATCGGTGAGACCTAACCTTTCGTTGTACAGGAATTTGAAACCCAGAAAGCTTATAGCTTAACCAAACACAGTGATTGATAGCCAGAGCTGGAATCCAGATTTCTTTCATTTTAAAATTCATACAATCATTGGGCGTGTGTGTCCTGTGCTTGGGTACAAAGATGAATAAGATATGCATTCTGACTTCCTATTCTCTATTATTTCCCTCTGCTTTATTGTGTCAAAACAGGATTACACATAGTAATAAAAGAGATTTAGCATTTACTTAATATAAATTTATTCAGATATTTGCCATGAGAAGTCAGTCTGTTTTTATAGATATAATTGAAGTGAAATTTGGGGGAAATTTCTGGTATCTTTCTACATCTTTCAGGACTCCAGCAGTTAGGCTCAGGGTACCGAAGTGATGCCAGCCAGTCTCGGTTGTTATTGTAATGTTTCCATATATGTTGTATTTGACCTGTGCATTTCTAGATGTCATTTTGTATAAATGACACCTATAGCCCTCTTGGCCTAAGTGATTTTAGCAATAAAAATCAGAGGTAATAGGGGCAAATGGTCATGATAAGTGTCACAAGTAACCCATTTCTTTCTTCTCTAGCACGAAGAAAATTAGATCAGGTCGAGAATGGAGGCTATGATAAAGAAGTCAGCAGCATGGGAAGTCGTTCTAGTTCATCAGGTAAAAAAACTAATGGTTTTAGTTATTTTGTGATTGATTATAAAAAGAAATAGCTTATTTTGTTTTAAAAGGTATTGAAACGTTTTTCTTTCATTTTGAATTTTAAAAAGTGGTAGTTGTGCATATTATAAGAAATATTTCCATTATCCAGGGTTTGCCATGTGGCTCTTCCCCCACCCCACCCCCAATTCTGGAATGTAAAGCTCTTTTTAGTTAAAAGTATAGTTGACATACAATATTATATTAGTTTCAGGTATATGTCACGTGGTTCTCTATCACTTATTCCCCTACCTCCTTTTTTCTTATCTGCTTTGTCTCTATTCTGTGTAACAACTTCCTCTTCCATTATTAAATTCAAATTGTATCCATTCCTACAGAGAGATTTGCTGTAGTGTGGTCTCTCTTTTTACTTTTACTGAGAACTACTGAAGTGACCATTGTTATATATCAGATTTTTAAGTGTATATACACACATGTATTTTTAAAATATTAGCATTTCTCATGGTTGATATGCTTATGGTACAGCAGAAATGAATAGAGTCTATGAAATTATGATTGGTAACATTGTGAAAATGGTAATTAGCAAAATATCAATTTTGGAATGCCAGGAACCAGGCTCAATGCTTTAAGTATATCATTTACTCTGGAAAAGTCATGTGAGCTGTTACAATTCCCACTTTAAAGTGTGTTTCCATGACTCACCCCAAATCCTCAGTGACTGAGCTCTCAGATTCTAAAGCCCTTGCTTGCCACCAGCCTGTACTGCTCCAGGAGTTGCATATTAGGGGGGAAAATGCCATCAAGGGTTACAATAGTGGGAAACGGTGTAGCAGAAGAAACGTGGATTTGAAATTACACATAGGTATTTAGGTCCCAGCTCTGCCATTTATTAGTGTATGAGTTGAATAAGATATATTACTTGTCTAAAATCTATAGAATGGGGTAAAAAGCTTAACTTTGTAGGGAAAAGGGTTAAAAATTCTTTACAACTAATGTTGATAGAAATAATAGCTAGCATTCACGTAGAGCTCACTAGATGCGTTGTTCCAGCTTCACGTGTAGTAACTCATTTAAATGCGGATAATAGTCCTGTGAGGTGAATAATGCTGTTGTTCTCATTTTAAGATGAAGTGACTGAGGCACAGAGAGTTTAATTAACTTGTCCGAAGTCTCACAGCTAGAAAGTGGGATTTGAACCTAGGGAGGCCTGGCTCCTGAGCTGAGCTGAGCTTAGCCCACGTGGCTGTATGCTACTCTCCTGTATCTTTTTCTTGGTTTGATTTGGTCTTACTTCAGACTTGTTATTTCTGACTTTTTCTCGAGTTCCATATTTCTTTGTTGACATTTCCTCCTCCTATTCTTGAAAGATATAGTAGATCTTTTTGTGCTTCTATCATCAGTATATTCAGAAATAAGAACTCAAACCAGGTATGACTTGTGTTGGATCCTGTGTCCAACTCTGTTAGAGTTATATTTGAAAGTCATACTAGAAGAAACAATATGAGATTAGAGATGACTCTATACCAGGTACAATGTCTAAACTTTTTTTCTCTTCAGGGTCCATTAATGCTCGAAGCAGTGCAGAAGATCGATCTCCGGAAAATACCGGGTCGTCGGTGGCTGTGGATAACTTCCCAGAAGTAGACAAGGCCATGTTGATTGAGAGGATAGTAAGGCTGCAGAAAGCACATGCCCGAAAGCATGAAAAGATAGAATTTATGGAGGATCACATCAAACAATTGGTGGAAGAAATTAGGAAAAAAACAAAGTATGTATTATTATGGTCACATATTCTGTGTTTAAAATACCATTATTCAAGTGGTTAACTTACTGGTTTTGAATTAATCACACCAAGATCCTGTATTTCAAAAAATAATTCTTAATTATAGTCATTCACTTCCCAATCTTTTGTTAATCACTTGTTGTGTTCTAGGTTTAGGAATACAGAAATTAAGGAAAACACAAATCTTTCCTTGAAGGGGATAATAGATTTCAGTAGACATTAATGTTTTTTAAAGCTCTTAGTGTATTAACCCTCTCATGAAAAATCTGCAGTTGCCACAAATAAAGTCACTGAAGAATCTTCACTCCTGTTCCACCTCCTCTCACTTTCTGCAGCACTAATGTTGGCCTTTGAGTCCCCGTGATGTTCTTCAGCCTGTTCTCGCGTCTTTCTCTGTTTCCTCAAGGTCTTCTCATATAGGCCATGACTTGAAAGTCTGTGTTTGGGTTCATTTTTCTTTGGGTAATCCAAGGAATCATAAATTATGCCAGTGCTAGTTGTCTTGGCACCACCAGAAAGGGTTCTGAATCCCAACACAAAGGTGACATCTGCTGTGGTCTTACACAATAGCTAGTTATTCCCGAAGTTCTGTCTAAGGTACTGTTGCCTTCCCAGCGTGAAGGATGTCAGTGACCATTTGTTTCCACTGAAGTCTTCTGTTGGTTATGAGCTTCCTGGTCCAGATAATTACTGTGTTGTTCATGATGGTGACCAATTGACATTAATTTTTTTGAGATATTAAAATAACTTTGGTCTTAAAGTGCTCCACTTAGGTTTTTATTTTTATGACCGATTCTAAGAGCTTTATAGTGTGTGGATTATCTTTCCTGCTGGGTAGAACATAGTGGGGTAATTTATTGGGCAACTACTAAGTACAAGACATGATGCCTGTTGACTTAATAGCTCATTGATTTCTTACATCTACTCGGAGAGAATGAGTTCTCTAATTTGACAGATAGTCGCTGGGGCTCACGTCAGATTACTAACTGTTCCAGATTCAGCACTCACTCCGTAAGTGACGGACCAAGAGCGGAGAGCCACATCCCGTGCTGACACTCCAGGACGGTGCTGCGCCAGACCCCTCACAAATACCGTGCTCATTTAAGGGCTTTGATAGTGCAGTCTTTACCCACAATTGGCTCATGTTTATTTTGAAATAATTTTGGACTTACAGAAAAGTTTGCCCATAACTTTTAAAAGAAAAAGAGTAAAATACAGTTCTAAGCTTAACAGGAAAATTGAAAATATGAACTGAAATAGGAACAAAAAACTACTCAAATACTTTTATTCAAGTAATAAGGAAAGACATGGAAAAGCATTGTTTATATATCTTTAGGAAAGCATCTGAATAAGGAAAATTCCTTTCTTTCCTAATACAGTTCTGTTATTAACCTTGTAGGTATTTATACTAGTCATCTTGATGCTTATGATTAGTTGACTCTTGCAAATCCCAGCGTTTTTAATTCTGCAGGTACATAACTGATAGTGTGGTTTTATTTTGCAGAATCATTCAGAGTTACATTTTACGGGAAGAGGCAGGCACCCTTTCTTCAGAGGCATCTGATTTTAACAAAGTCCACTTAAGTAGACGGGGTGGCATCATGGCGTCTCTGTACACATCCCATCCAGCTGATAGTGGACTGACATTGGAACTCTCGCTGGAGATCAACCGAAAATTACAGGCTGTTTTGGAAGATACGTTACTAAAAAATATTACTTTGAAGGTATTTGTACTTCTCGTTCACTTACCCACCAGTAAACATGGCAAAATGGTGCCTGTTTCATAGTTTGACCCAGTACATAGTGAACTATTTCTGTAATGGAAGATAGCATTTTACCCAGAGATAAAATGAGCATGTTGTTCTTTTTCTGTAAAGTAGAATTTTTTTACAGAGCAACGAAAGAAAGAGTAAAAAGTCATCATTTAGCTATATTTATATTTTTCGATTATAGTTTACATTCAGCATTATCTTGTATTAGTTTCAGTGTACAGCATAGTGGTTAGACAATTATATACTTTATAAAGTGTTCCCCCAATATTTCCAACACCCACCTGGCACCATACATAGTATTGCAGTATTATTGACTATATTCCCTATGATGTACCTTACATCCCCATGACTGTTTTAAAACTACCAATTTGTACTCTTAATCCCTTTGTCTTTTTCACCTAGCCCCCCTTAACCCCCCACTTCTCTGCAACCATCAGTCAGTCTGTTCTCTGTATCTATGAGTCTGCTTCAATTTTGTTTGTTGATTTATTTTATCCTTGAGATTTCACACATAAGTGAAATCGTATGGTATTTGTCTTTCTCTGTCTGACTTATTTCACTTAGCATAATACCCTCTAGGTCAGTGGTCGCCAACCTTTCAGACTTCATGGACCACCAGTGGTCCGCTGAACACCGGTTGGCGACCGCTGCTCTAGGTCATCCACGCTGTTCCAAATGGTAAGATTTCATTCTTTTTTTTTGGCTGAGTAATATCCCATTGTATTTATGTACCACAGCTTTTTTATCCACTTGACTGTTGATGAGCCCGTTTAGCTATTGGATAGTTAGTAGTGGATTTTAAAAATTATTTTTTAACTTTGGTAATAATTTTATGTAATAAAATTTGCTGTAGCTTCAGTAAGAAAAAAAGTAAGTATGACTTTGTAATATGGAGGACTACTTTACTGAAAATAGCTGTGTCTAGTTTATTTCATATAACATATAAGACTAATCACTCTTCAAAATGTAGGCAAAGGTAGTTCAAGTGAAACACTTTTTACTTATTATACTTAGTAGTTCTGTTCTTATTTTGTTCTTTTTTCAAACGGTTAAAGGAAAATCTACAAACACTTGGAACAGAAATAGAACGTCTTATTAAACACCAGCACGAACTAGAACAGAGGACGAAGAAAACCTAACACGAAACTGCTGCTCAGGGAAGAGAGAACCACCACACGAGGAGCAGGGTCACTGCCCGTATTGTCGGAGCCTCCCCAGCTGTGTCAGCCAGTAAAGAATGATTGTTTGACCTACAGAAAAGTACCTTTACCTTAGGAATGCATTGCAGTGTGTCCTGTAAGAGTGTAGACTTGATGGAATCTGTTTTCGTATGGTGACAGCCACCATAGAACCAAAACAACATAGTTTAATTTGCTAAGAATCATTGAAATGCTCAACATACAAGGGCTTTTGGAAAACCCTTCTCCATTTTTTTCCCCTTTAAAACACATCATGTCAAAAATGATCCAGCTTTTTAAAATTATGCATGAAAGGACCAGTAATATGCTATTTTCCTAACTTAAAAGAAAAATAAAAAATAAAAAATTTTGTCTTGACATCCCAATATTTCATTTGGTTGTGTTTTAGGGAGGGTACCAGTGATCCTTAAATCCTTTCATTTTAATGGAAGCTAATAGGAAAGCTAGCTTGTGGTAATTGGCCCATGATCAGGTATGTACCTTATCTGGGCTAGGTACATTTTTTTCAGATTCAAATTGTTTGAGTTCATAGTTGAGTTTTTTAAATCTTCAGTTACATAAAATATGATTTAAAATAACGTGCTCATTTAGAAAATTCCTGTGGACTTTGTTTATATTTTAAAATGTGAAATTGACTAGTTATTAAAACGAGATGAATAGTGAATTCTTTGAAACTGAAATACTTGCGTTTTACTAATATCAAATGCAAAGATAAATGTTTAAAATTTTTATGAAGATTCTGTTCCCAAGAGAATGCACTCATTCTGTACTGTTTGAGCTCCCATTCTTCACTATTGATATACTTACTTGTTATAGTGGAGTGATCCAACAATCCCCACATATAAGGCGTTTCAGTGTATTTATTTAAAACAGAAAATAATTACTTCTCTGTAACCAAAGGAATTTTAGAGCCAAATTTATGTATCCTATTGGATTTTTACAATATTTATTTGCAATGTGGCAACTTGAATATTGCCAGTTGTGGTGTCAGTATTTCTATGTCATTGAATTTTTCTTGCTTCTTATAATTTTTCATCTAATTTCTGTGTGCGGTTTATATTTTTGTCTTGCAGAAAGTCTCATTTTTGTTTTGGATTTTTGCATTCTTTTTTCTCCCCTTAAGTAAGCTTTGGGATAATAGATTAAAAGCCTTTCAAGAATTGTATGGTTCTCAAAGTTGGGCTCGTGGTGGCAATATCCCTTTCATGGGTTTTAACATTTTTTTTAGTCATCATTGTTTAAAAAGATAATTTACTAAGGGTTAGATGATTCATTATATTGTTTTTTCTGTATATTAAGTTATGTATTGTCATCCCAAAACAAAATCTTTTTACTTCAAAATGGAAATACAAGTTTTAAAACATTTTATTTTTTAAATAGCTGTTAAAAAGTATTAGTCTTACAATAATGTGTCTTGTTCTTTTTACCAATAGTAATTTATCAGAATAAGAGGGTAAGTGCAATCAAATCGGAATTATTTTCCCATTTGCTTCTAGACATATAGTTGATACTCCCAAAGACTACTTAGAGTAGCCAAGGCAACTAAATTTTTACGGCTTCTTATGTGATATAGATTCAAACATTACAATATTTATTTTCTTCTGAGACACAAAATGTATTAATGGAGACCAAATAGTGATCCTGTGTCTATACACTCTTAAAAACATAAAAATTAAAAATATATATACAGTTATTACATACAAAATTGAAACATTCCAATATTGACATTTGTGCCACCATTCATTTGGAGAAGTTTAAATTGGAAACAATAATAGAAGAAAGCTATTGTAAACCATATTTTGACTTATTATTACTTTTCCCCCTAAAATATAAGAAACTATGGAAAACTTTTGAAGAAAATATTTTCCTTTTGTTCTTTAGTTTTTACTGCATCCTTTTTATATGGGTCAGGACTGAGCAAAATGTACAAAAATGTGCACATGTCAGATCTCTATCTCTACACTGACTCACACGTAGCTCCTGACTTAGAGGGCTTCTTCCCTTACTGTGTTAATATATGGAGAGAAGAATGGGGTACCCAGACAAGGAAAATGGTCTCCATAAACCTCAGATCTGGGGGGGAGTTTTTTTGTATGTGCATTATGAATTGTACACATCAAAGACTGTTTTGGTTAGTGCAGTTTTGGTTTCTTTAAGCAGGAAATGATTTTGTGTGTGTGTGTGTGTGTGTGTATGTATACACTTCACCAGGTTTCAATTTTAAAGTGAATATTTACTGTGACTCCCTTTTTCCCCCATACCCCTCCAAACTTCAGTCTGTTAAGTTTCAAGGATTGCAAATAGTGTGTTTGAGCAGAATAACAAGTTTGAACTTTGATGGTTTCTTTTTAACTTTCTTCATCACCATTTAAATAGACATCTTGAAATTAAGTTTTATCAGGCTACCATGTTATTTATTCATTTAATAAACATGGTTATTGAAAATCTGTTGCCTGGCGCCATACTAGGTACCGTGATGATACTGGTGAACAGGCCAGAGAAAGCAGTTCCCCTCCTCCCAGAGCTGTGGTCCTAGAACGCACCCAGCAGGAAACGGGCAGCTCTGAGCCTCTGCCACTCCTGCCAGCCGCGTGGGAAGAGGGTCAGTCCTCCTGTGCAAGTAGGTGGCCCAGAAACCTCACTCTGGCACGCATCTTTGGGAAATGAATCCTTACTGAGGTACGCGGCAGCTGATGGCTGTTCCCTTGGTAGTTACATACATTTCCACACTTTTGTCAGTTTGATGTTTAATTATTCCGTAAGAAGGAAAAAAAATCCAAAGACCATAAAGTGGCATTCGATTTTTGCCATTTTAGTAAATTATTAATGCCTACTTGATGCTTATAAAGATTATCTAATCCTGCAGTCATGTGTGTTTCCAAACTTTGTTTTGCACTGTATTATTTTCTAAAGATTTTTACATGTAAATTTAGACTAATATTTACCAGTAGGGGAAAATAAAATTAGAAACCATTAGTATTGTGAATGTTATATGTACTACCATGGTGAAAATATTTTTATCAATCATGTTGTTGTTCGGTATTGTTAATTTGCCTTATGAATGTTGACGCCAGTAGCTTATTTTTCAATAACTTTTTTATTTTAAAACAAAACAATTCTTTTTTGACACTAAGATTATTAATTTTTAACACCAGTTGGTGGCACTAAAAACCTAAAAGCTTTTCAAGGCTGAAGAAGAGAAAATAATTGAAAAATGTGTCCAAACATCAAGAATTTTCAGGACAATTAATGAAAAGTATAATTGTATATTAAAGTATTTTTCTTCTGGAATGGAATCCTTTTTTAAAATGCAATATGGCTGTCCATTTAGATTATGATGATGAAACTTGCTTATCTTCCAAAGTTCATATAAATGTATATATAGATAGGTAGATATAGCTATATATATATGTGTGTATTGTACAGATAATCTCTAATTTGATTACATTGTTCATTTTGTAAATATGTCTCTGTATAAAATTAAGCTTTTCAAGAGAATTCTATGTATATATTGTACTTATTAAATAGGTAATGCCTGTTTACCCAGTTGTATTGTAGTGTCATCTTTATTTGTTGACACACACCACTTACTAAAAAGACTGATTCTGCAGATTGGTGGCAAGGCTGATTCAAATTGCTTGAATTTATTTTTTAAACCAGACTAAAAATGTTTGCTCCCCATGTTTGTTTTCAGTCTATCAATTATTAGAAATCAATTGATTAGATTGAATGCTCAATTATATTTTAAATTTTTGTTTAAATTACTGATGGCAAAATTTGGCCTTTTACAAGAGGGAAACTTTCACATGCTTTTTTATCCACTGGCTCTGGGGCCTCCTGGGAGGTGTGTCAAGGTCAGCCACCACTGTGCCCTGCCTGCCTGGGGCCACCCAACATGAGCTACCAAGTGATCTGCAGATGCTCCTACTTGTGCTGGGCTTGGAGGTGCCCAGGAGAGGCCAAGCTGTGAACCAAGGCTGGCTGCTGCTAATGCTGGGTTAGGGACACTTAGCAAGAGGCACGGGGCATGCTGAGGCCAGGTGCTGCTTGTTTGAGAGGTTTTAGGAGTCTGAAGCATGAGCCAAGACAGACTGTATGGGAAAGCCACTGGAAATAGCTTGGGTGAGCCTGCAAGTTGGGTGGGGCGGGGTCTCAGGGAATCACCAGGGCTGGTTAATGGAGACTAATTTATGGCACCTGCCTGCTGGCTCTGTGCGTGCGTGTGTGGGGGAGGTGTCCCAGAAAAGGAACGCTGGCCTCCGGCAGCATTTCTGGGGAAAAGCTGCCCCTCTAGCTCTCGTCCTGGTGCCAGACACTTCCTCCCCATATATCCCTGGTCTTTCGAGCTGCTGCCTCAACGCTGGAGCCCTGAGCCAGAGAGTCCGAGTAAGTCTGTGTGGGGGCCCTGGGACTCCAGCAGCCTCCATCTCAGCCGCAATCTCTGCTGGAGCCCTGGGTTGGGGGACCTTGCTCCTCGGGGGAACCTCTGCAACAGAGATATCCCAGTTTTATCCACCATTCGTGGGTGTGGGAGCAGCCCATTCCAGGTGTTTGTCTCTCCTACCAGTCTGGATGTGGCTTCTTTATATCCTTAGTTGTAGGACTTGGTTCAGTTAGATGTCAGGTGTTCTGAATGATTACTGCTCTGTAGCTTAGTGGTAATTTTTGATGTGAGAAGTTCAGAGTATCGCATTTACCTACACCATCATCTTGACTTGAAGCCTGATTCTTATTTTTTTAAAAGAAGCATACGTTTAAGAAGTGTTCTATTTCTGAGGAATTTTCAACACCCCCCCCTTTTTTTTGATTGCCCAAACGCCTTGCTTTTTGCCAGTCAGACAAATGCCCCTAATTGCCCTCAAAAAAAGGAGAAAGGCTGTTACCTATAAGAGAGGAGTCTCTATCATTGCACAAAGTGTTTTGTTGAAAGTCTAGGATCCATTGAAATAAAGTACTTAGCTTGTAGATAGTCAATCTCTAGTAACATTAACTTGGGAAATATATTACATACTAGAATGGCTTTCCACGCCATCCAGTTCACTATGTAGTTTTTGTTTCATAGCTAATTAAATGCCCAAGGGCAGGAGGTAGTGTGTATGATGTGAATTCAGCCTTCTCCCACTTTGCTTGTCCCAAGAAATATCAGTTAAACCTGCCATGCGACCTGTTGTTCCTTAGGCCGGTCCTTTATGAACGCTGACTAGCGAAGAATTCCCAAATGCCCACCACCTTGCTCTGGTCTTGAGCTGCGTTTCTGCCCACTGCATGGAGAGACACTTTCATTGTACTGCTCCCCCCTGAGGAGCCTCAAAGATCTCGCTTCTCCCAAAACACAGGTCCCTAAGGAGTCCATGTCAAAGGAGGGTGCTGCCTTTTGCTCTGAACAAAGCTTGTTCCTGAATTTTGTGTTGTGTTGTTGTGTTGCTTTGGGATCGTTGAGTGTGGAGGGATTAGCACTGTGTGTTTGAAGAATTTACCCAATGCTCTATTTACTTAAAAAGCCAAGTGGCATTTAGGAGTTACTCTGGTCAGAGGTCAGACACAGTGTACTGCACTGCTTTTGTGTTTTAAGAGGGCTTGTTTTCCCTTTGGAATGCCAAGGAACACAAATTTGAAAGGTAAACATATAAAGGCAGGGACAGGGAGAAAATACCAATTAGCTGCTTCCAGTGAGGCTCAGAGGACCCCATGTGGCAGGAAACAGGCACCAAGCCTCATTCACAGCATCTTCCTGCTCAGGGTTTGTTGAGCTGGAATTTGAACCCAGTTTGGGGATACCTTTCTCTATCCTCTGCTATCTCCCCAAAGTCAACGTTCTCATGCCTCCCTGATCGGATTAACGTCATCTTTGGGTTCTTTTTCTTTACACTAACATTGATTAAGCAAGACCAATAATCTGTTAAAGAGGATGTGTGTGCGAGTATGTGTGATTTAACAAACTCTTAGTTGGAGACTTGTTGCCATTCTTTTTGTTTCTTCGCTAGTCAGCGTTCATAAAGGACTTGCCTAAGAATGCCTCTTCCTGATGGTCTTAAAAAATGTTTTTAAATTGGTTTCAGAGAGGAAGGGAAAGGAAGAGATAGAAACTTCAATGATAAGAGAGAATCATTGACTGGCTGCCTCCTGTACACGAGCTGATTTTTTTTTTTTTTTTAGAAAGAGAAACATTACCTTAGCTGGTTTGGCTCAGTGGATAGGGCGTCAGCCTGCGGACTGAAAGGTCCCAGGTTCGATTCCAGTCAAGGGCACATGCCCGGGGTATAGGCTCGATCCCCAGTAGGGGGCGTCCAGGAAGCAGCCAATCAATGATTCTCTCTCATCATTGATGTTTCTATCTCTCTCTCCCTCTCCCTTCCTCTCTGAAATCAATAAAAATATATTTTTAAAAAAGAAAGAAAAAGAAACATTAATGCGTGAGAGAAATACCAATGGGTTGCCTCCCATGCACGTCCTGACTGGAGATCAAACCTGCGACCTTTTGTTGTACCGGATGACGCTCCAACCAACTGAGCCACTGGGCCAGGGCTGGATTGAATATTTTTGTATGATTCAATTATACCTCCATTATGAGTGATGCCTCTTTTAAAAATGTTTTAGTGGTTGCCTAGGGTTTACAAAATATCTTAAACATATGGAATGCTTCTTTTGCGATGGGCCCAAATTTACTACACCTGCCGCTGATAAAAATCAGGAAAGGGGCTGGAAGCTGAGCACTAGTGAGTCTAATGACAAAAAAATTAACTGCTATGCCCAGCTGGTGTGGCTCAGTGGTTGATTGTTGACCTATGAACCAGGAGGTCACGGTCCGATTCCCTGTCAGGGCACATGCCCGGGTTCTGGGCTCGATCCCCAATAGAGGATGTGCAGGAGGCAGCCAATCAATGATTCTCTCTCATCATTGATGTTTCTATCTCTCCATTTCCTTTCCTCTCTGAAATCAAAAAATATATTTTTTTAAAAAAAGAAAAAGAAAAGAAAAATTAACTCAGGCATATAAACACGATCACAATAAATGTTGGTACTGGGCACATTTTCCCTGGGTAGTTCAGATTAATCTGTGCAGCCCAAGACACAGTTTACTCTGCAGGTCATTGGAAAAGACCGCCATACTGGGATTATTCTAGTACAGAAAAATGTCAGGTATTGCTTGCCAGGGTGTCAGGGTCCCTGGGAAAGTTCTCTCGCTTTGCCTGGCAGGATGCGGGGATAGCCCCTGGCTTCGCAAGACAAAGATCCACCCTGGCCATGAACCACCCTTTGATACTGGGCCATGTTTTCGCTGAAAGGAAACAGTTTTGCCGTTGCATCCTAATTATGTGGCAGAAAACAGCTTTGTCTTGGGACTGCTTCGAATGATATGTCTAAATTCATCTTCTACTTGTAAATATATTTTTATATGTAAACAAATTTTGTTTCCTGGACTGAAAAGCTCCCTTGGCAGAAATTTTGCTAAAAACCTAATGATATGGAAAAATGTTTTGCATGAACTACTTCGGTTGATTGATTTGCCCAGAGCCCATCAATAACTCGGCCACGTGGTGTGAGTGCTGGCTACGTGTTAGCTACTGCAGTGGGAGAGAGTTCAGAACGACACTGCACCTGGCTCTTCCAGGCTTGAGAACAGTGCAAGGTACCAGGCCAAAGACTGCATGCAAACAGCACGATGTAACTGCAGACTTGGCTATATCATTGTAAAAGCATTCCAAATGGTGAAGGCGCAGCCTCAACCATGGAGTTATTGTGGAACGCCTTGTCTCCAGCTGGTGTGTGTGTGTGTGTGTGTGTGTGTGTGTGTGTGTGCGTGCGCAGGCTTTGTGGGTGGATCACATTATTATGAAGGAACAAGCTGTCACCTGCCGTAAGTTATCAGGTAAAGTGTTCACTGTACTGCGGCCTCAGGTCATCGCCCAGCACACCAGCAGACCTGGAGTCAGGTCTCACAAAAATGTGTTTGAGTTAAAACAGTAAGTCCTGAAAGTCTTGAGGATGAGTCCTCCCTGACTAGGAACTCCTTGGAAGTTCTTTGGGACTTAAGTTTAGCCTCTAAATGCCACTAGAGGGCAGAGGAATGTTAAGAAACCAGCCATTCGTCACAGACTAATATGGGTGCACCTCCCTTGGCCTCATCACTGGGTGTCTGTCTGCAGGATTCTGAGACCATTCCTGTAACTTAGGCCTTTAGTCCTTGTCTTTCCGCATACTCAGCCCCCAGAAGAGTGGGTGGCCTTGGACCGGCAGCTCTAACAATCTAGCATTTCATGAGCGTGATTCTACTGGTGCCCAGATCCCTAAGCAAAAACTATCCAAACTTTCCGATCTTGAAAATTGTATTTTCAAGTCTCCTTGCGCTGAACATTGGAAAGAAAGGGCAGGGTTCTTGCAGGTGCCTCGAGGGCACTTGTTGGAGAGAACAAGACCACTCCGCTGTGATGGCATCATCCTTACATCAGGCAGATCCATGTCTCAACCTCTCCACTCACTCTAAGGAGGGGCAAACAGCTCTACTGCTATCAACGTCTTCAACTTCTTAATCTGAGAAATCGTCCTTTGTGGATAGTCAACATAGTTTCTTTGTTCTTTTTTTTTTTATATTTTATTGATTTTTTACAGAGAGGAAGGGAGAGAGATAGAGAGTTAGAAACATCGATGAGAGAGAAACATCGACCAGCTGCCTCCTGCACATCTCCCACTGGGGATGTGCCCGCAACCCAGGTACATGCCCTTGACCGGAATCAAACCTGGGACCCTTCAGTCCGCAGGCCGACGCTCTATCCACTGAGCCAAACCGGTTTCGGCTCTTTGTTCTTTTTAAAAAAAATTTTTTTATTGATTTCAGAGAGGGAGAGGGAGAGAGAGAAATATTAATGATGAGAGAGAATCATTGATTGGCTGCCTCCTACACACCCCACACTGGGGATCGAGCCTGCAACTCAGGCATGTGCCCTGACCTGGAATCCAACTGTGACCTCCTGGTTCATAGGTCGACGCTCAACCACTGAGCCACACCAGCCAGGTACTGAACATAATTTCTAACACTCCAAAATCAGGGAGGCTAGTTCGAACTAAATTTGGGGGATTTACTCAATGCATCTTTTCATTTTTTAGCAGGTAGGGTTCTGAGTCTGAGCTGGACGGTGTCTTTCTATTTCTGAGCTCTGGCTCAGATATGTCAAGAGTTCAGGAGGAGGTTGATCAAGCAGCCCTGTAAGCAGAGAGGAAATGCCTTCCTGGAGAAAGAGCTGTTTTAATGTCATGTTACCATCCTGCAAAGCAGAAAGCCAGCGGGTTCTGCTTCAGGATTTAGAATGTTCTTGAATTCAGTATAATTCGCCTACAATAACCACACTTTCCCTCTGTCGTTGATAGCCATGCAGTGAATTGTTCTAATCTGCGGAGAAAAATCAAGGTAGATCACTGAGGTCCTTGGTTTGAGAAGGGAGTTTTCCCCTTTTATTTTTGGCAAATGTTGACTGGAGATGGGACCAGGGCTAAGATGACAGCAGGGTGTGCGGCCTGAGAAGGATCTATGTAGAGACATAAAGAAGACCTTGGAGTCTGAAAGGACACCTTCTGGGTGTGACAAAGCTGGGTTTGGAGGCGGCAACTGAGAGTGCAGACCCCTTTCCTCCTCCCTGTGCCCTCAGCCACTGTGAGTGAACAGCCCCCTGTGTGTCCCAGGTCTGTTCAGTGTCTTCATCTCCTCTGTGGGCACGTCATCTTGGGTGTTAGCTGAGATGTTGGCAAAGCATTTTCTATCTGCGCAGCCCCCCACAAACGGAGCTGGGAGGAGCTGTTTCTTGGCTCCGGGAAGAAAGTGGGAGAGAAAACCCAGCTTTCACATTAAGGGCAAATTAAATTCAGGGGCTTCCAAATTAAGTCAGTGCAGTCATTTCCTTCTTTAAAGAAACCCTACACGCGCTCCTCTGTCCCCCGCAAGTTGGGAGCTGGGTGTTGAGTTCCTCTTGCTTCCTATAAAGGGTTATTGGCAAGGCAGCCACCTATGAATCAAAGGAAGCCGAAAGCGAGCCTGCCCACGGTCAGGGGCGGCAGAGGCCGGGAGCCAAGGCTTCGGAGAACTAAAAGGCAGGGGAGGAGCCGCACCCTCATTTCTGAGCTCTGGCTCATCGCTTTGTCCAAGTGTCTAAGCAGGACTTTGAAAGGTGCCCTGGAAGCGGAGAGCAACTGGGACCAGCTCCCCTTGGGCACTGCCAAGCCACTGAATTCTGCCCACATGCATCCGTGAGCCCTCTCACTCCCCAGGTCATCACTCCCAGATTCCCCAGGGCTCGAACCACTGCCCTGCCTCCATTTCACCTCCATCAGCGCCCCTGCAGCCCTGTCTCAGCCTGTGGCCCGGGGCCCCTCAGGAGGGGTTGGCCAGCTCCTTCCTGCCCAGGGAGCCTCAGCTCTTCTCTAGAAAGGAAATCTGCACTCGTTTCTCTCTCTCCTGTTTCCAGAGAGTTTCTGGTTTGATATTTGGAAAATTCTTCTCAAGGAGCCACTTCCATTGGGTGTAGGATAATAGTGGCTTGGGCAGCTCGGTGCATTTCTGGGGCTTTGATAGCCATGCCCGGCGTATCAGGAAGTGTGCAAACTCGTCATGTTGAGTGACAGATGTGGTTTTCCTTTTAAGGGCTCTGCAGCAAGACTTCCTCCTGCAGGGAGGGCTGTTTAGGGGACGGACGATCACCCTGCCCCCGGGTCCCCATGCCTCATTTTACGGTGCTTGGGATCAGCAGACTCAAACTTGCCTTTACTTCATGGGTCCCTAGGAGAGAGGGAAGGGCTGCATTACCCACAGCCCTGCATAGGTGACACTCACATGCCCCCCAAGCCCCCAGGCACAGTCTGGGTGGGACACTGACTTCTCCACTTGAACTGGAGGTCACGGTGGTGAGGCTGGCCTCTGTGGGCACAATTGGAATGCTTGCCAGTTGTGTGTGTCTTGATAAGGATCTTACGATCATCTCGGAAAACTACAATGATGATAAGAATGAAGGCACGAGGCGTATGTTTAATGAATCCAGTTAATAGACAGCACTTAAATGAATGAACGGGAACACAAATTCTCAGGACCGCTCCGGTCTTGGTCTTGGAGTTGGGCAGGGTGTGGAGTCCTCATCCAGGGCGGTCCTTAGCCAGTGCTCGGCTGGGGAACCAGAATGTGACCTCCCAGCCGTGGCTGCGCATGGATTATGTCATTGTCACTTTCAGCAGTTACTATTTTGGCCAGGTAGTGCCTGGCCGCTGCCTGCTGGGAAAGTCAGCCGCCCTCCCGCCCCCGCCCTGCCCCGCACTGACAAATGCTTCCCCAGCCCTCTCGGCAGGGGGCGTGTTCTGCCCAGAATAGCATTGGCTCCTGGGCCACCAGTTCCAGGGCCGGGCTTCAGGGCCCAGGCTGCTTGTTTCCTGGGCTGTGAGACATTCCCCAGAGGTCAGGCCCAGCTGGGACACCGCGAGCCTTCCCTCCCCGGGCGGGGAGTCGAAGGGGAAATGGGCTCATAATGCAAAACATTGCTCACGCCCAAGTTTCGGTTCCGTTTCAGGATGCAAAGCAGAAAACACTGCTCCAACCACTCAGCCCCCGGGAGGGAGTCCAGCCTGGGAGGCATTCACAGGAGTAAAGACGTGGCTGTCTCTGAGGGAGCAGCCCCTTCTGAGTGTGTGTGTGTGTGGGGGGGGGGGGCAGTGCACCTCATCATCACCCAAAGGAAACAAGTCTGTTTCCATCAGAATTAGGTCTCCCTGGAAAAGTCTAATTTTCCTCACAATCTTGGTCATTCCCTGTGTGTTGCTCACATCAGAAATGTGAATATTGGAAAAATAAGGATGGAGAAGAAGGGATGTGTTAGCTTTTTTTCCAGTGGGGACAGGGGACCCTGACTTGCTTTCCAGTGCTGCCTAGGATCCAAGGAATATTTTGCTGTAAATACTAAGTGAACCCCAAGGCCCCTGACATGAAAGGAACATTCTAATTTGTGTCTGTGTGCATATGATCTCTCGGGCAATTAAATAGTGATGAAGTGGTACGTGGGTCAGAGACCCATGACAGAGGGACAGTTAAGAGGCAGGGGTTCCCCCTCTAAGTACTTTGTTTTACTTGATAAAGGACGTTCAAATTGGGGCCGGTGGACTACAGTTCTCTGCCCCTTTGAGCCTGTATTAGCTTGCCAGGGCTGCCATAAAACCATTCCACAGACCGGATGGCTTAAACGACAGAAATGTATTGACTCACAGTCCTGGAGGCTAGAAGTCAAAGGTCAAGGTGTTGGTGGTGGTCTCCCCACCCCCCTCCTCCCCCAGGCCTCTCTCTCCTTGGCTTGCAGTTGGCCACCTTCTTGCTGTGCCCTCACATGATCATCCCTGTGTGTGCACCTGACTGATCTCTCTCTCTCTCCCAATATCTTCTTCACCAATCATATTAGATTAGGTTCACCCTAATGCCCTCTCTTCAAATACAGTCACATTCTGAGGTCTTGGGGATTTAGGGCTTCAACACATGTGGGGACATAATTCAGCCCATCACACTTTCTGGTAAAACTGGAATAAAACTTGCCCTCCTTTCTTGTTTTTAGACTCAGATGAGATAGAAAGTAAGAAAAGGGACTTTGGAGCGGGTCAAATGCTTACAAAGGCAAGTGGTCAGCCTACAGGGGTGGGTGGGGAGCTTAGGACAATGTGTCTTATGGGCCTGTGTGAAGGTCACATTTCTGTTATACACTCAAGGTTTGGAGGCCAAGTTCCCCATGAAAAGATGAATTTGCAAAGGTGCTACTGGATATCATGCCTTCTTAAGAATTTGAGTCCAGAGTGATATTGCAAATCGTTGGTTCATTTATTTACCTACCACCACTGATTCCACACCTACCCTGCTAGGTGCCGGGTTAGGGTGAGCCATTGTCTGCAGATGATGCAAAATGGCAAGCTGGCTCGATGAGTTCAATGGGAAATTTCATTAAGCAGAAGAAGACTCTGACTTTGTTTGCTACACAGCTTAAGGGAGCTTCACCAAAAATATTCCTTGCCTTCAATAACTTCCCCCTGATTCTTCCTTCCTCAATCACAGAAGGCTGCTAAGGACTGCAGGTTTCAGATGAACTTGGAGGTCATTCTGGGTTTGGAACTGGGGCCACTCAGGCTGAAAAAAAAATTCAGGTTCTTTCATTCTTAGAGACTGAATATCTGATAGAACAGCGATTTTCAACCTTTTTTTTATCTCATGGCACACATAAACTAATTACTAAAATTATTTAGTAATTAGTAAATTATCCGCTGGCATGGCTCAGTACATGGGATGTCATCCCATGTACTAGGAGGTCACAGTTCGAATCCCTGGTCAGGACGCATGCCTGGGTTGTAGTCTTGATCTCCAGTAGGGGGAGTGCAGGAGGCAGCTGACCAATGTTTCTCATCGATGTTTCTCTGTCTCCCCTCTCTCCCTTTCCCTTCTTCTCTCTAAAAAAGAAAGAAAGAAAGAAAATCACTGTGATAGAGTGAGGCACGTCTGGGATCTCTGAAGAACAAGGACCTGTTACACACACACACACACACACACACACACACAGGCTAGAAAAGTGTGTACCTGTCCTTGCATAAAGAAAATATGCAGAAAAACCACAGGATCTCCAAGCTGTGCTGAAAAGGGCCCTTAGCTCATAGAGAGTAAAATGATACCATCATGTACCTTTGATCTCTCTCGAATTTGGAAACTTCAAAGCTGAACGAGGAGTGTAATACCCACATCTCCCATCTCAGCCATGGGAACCCCTTCTCTTTTGGGTTCTATGTCATACAAAGGGGTGTGGGCAAGACGGGCAAGAAGGATACAACCTCCTTGGGTCTCCAAGAGCAAAGTGGTCCTGAGTTTAAGTCTCCTGCACAAGAAGAAGTGAAAAGTCCACAGTCACTAAGCAAATACTGCAATCATTGCAACAGACATTTGCCTACAGTAAGTACTAAGACAGGAAGGAAACCAACAAGTGCCCTAGGGAAGTACAGCTTGCTACACTCAACAAGCAAACTCGGACGGGAAGAAGCGAGACCTCAGGAATTTCACTTTTTACCTTGGACCAGAAGACTGCTTTGTGGCTCAGAAACTCCCTTCTGTTGGACTTCAATCTTGCTTTATTTCCAAAATGGGGCTGCAAATTGGAATGATGAAGCCAAAAATACCAACCAGCCTGAGATCCTTGGTTAACAACATCAGCAGCAACACAGGACAGAGCTTTTCCCCTCCCCCACTCTTCACATGTCATTACAGGAGGAAAACCACAGGCCGAACCCAGCAAAGGCAGTTCAATCTAACTCGCAAGCCTCCTGTGCTTACTGATGGTTTCTGAGTCGTGGAGGCTCTGAAGTCATGTAAGATCATGCTATTTAATATGCATGATGAAAGGAGGAAACAAAAACATTTTCAGTCTCTTACTAAACAGCAGCCTTATTCTGTGATATCCGTTTGATCTACTGTTTCCAGGCTCCAGGGAATCATTTCCATGTGACATTTATCAATGAACATTTCAAATAAAAGTAGTTAGCATGTGTCAATCGGGCTTCTTTTTTTTTTCTTTTAAAATATATTTTTTATTGATTTCAGAGAGGAAGGGAGAAGGAGAGAGAGATAGAAACATCAATGATGAGAGAGAATCATTGATTGGCTGCCTCCTGCACACCGCACACTGGAGATCGAGCCTACAACCCGGGCACGTGCCCCAACCAGGAACTGAACGGTGATCTCCTGGTTCATAGGTCGATGCTCAACCACTGAGCCATGATGGCCGGGGCTCAATTGAACTTTTTTAATGGCAAATGACAGAGACTGTTCCCTTAAAGCAGAAAGGAACTTACAAAGTGTATGAGATGACATCTAGAATCCCAGGAGAGCTGGAGAGTGAAGCTAGGAGGCTCTGCAGCCAGCAACAGCCCCTGAAATCAGTTCTAGAGCTGCGCCCGGCGATGTTCCACTGCCTTCTCTCCCGGCAAAGAGACTACGCTTGCCCTGTGACCGCTCCTCACATTGGATGAACTTCTGGACCCTCCCCTCATTAGCTGGCTGTAGTGGCCATCGTCCTAGCCAGCTTGCCCCCAAATCCTAGCCAGGCTCCTCCGGTCCTCGGCTTGTTCTTCCTTCTCCAAAGATCCCTGTGTGAACCCCCCTCTACCTCTTTTGGGAAACCCAACTGTGTCCAATGGAAGGGGCTCAGGCTCCCCAACACTGTACCCACCTGCTTGTGCTCAGGTCAGTCTTCTGTCTGGAGTGGTACCTAGCGCTTCAGCTTGATGGTCAGTGATGTGTAAACAGGTGGTCCAGACCCCAAGGTAACTGAGTCCCCTAGGCTGCGTCTCCTTGTTCCCAATTCTGCCGTGGGCATGGCTGACACCTCGGATTCTTTGACTCCTTGACCTGTTAGAGCAAGCTCATGCATATCTCCAAAGGAGGGACAGGTATTGGGGTGTGGGCAAGACGGGCAAGATAGATACAACCTCCTCGGGTATCCAAGAGCAAAGTGGTGGCACCTTGAACTATTCCTCAAGGGGAAAGTATAGTGTAGACCAGCCGTGGGCAAACTATGGCCCGCGGGCCGGATCCGGCCCGTTTGAAATGAATAAAACTAAAAAAAAAAAAAAAAAGACCGTACCCTTTTATGTAATGATGTTTACTTTGAATTTATATTAGTTCACACAAACACTCCATCCATGCTTTTGTTCCGGCCCTCCGGTCCAGTTTAAGAACCCATTGTGGCCCTCGAGTCTAAAAGTTTGCCCACCCCTGGTGTAGACTCACATTAAGAAAGAAAATTCTCCCCTAGCCGGTTGCTCAGTGGTCAGAGCATCAGCCTGCAGACTAAAGGGTCTCGGGTTTGAGGGTTCAAGAGCACGTACCTCCATTGCAGACTCCAGTTGGGGCGCATGAGGGAGGCAGTCGATGTGTCTCTCTCACATCGATGTTTCTCTCTCTCCTCCTCCTCCTCATCCTCCCTTTCATTCTCTCTAAAAAATCAATGGAAGAAAATATCCTCAGGTGAGGCTTAACAAAAAGAGAGAGAGAGAGAGAGAGAGAGAGAGAGAGAGAGAGAGAGAGAGAGAAAGAAAAGAAAAGGAAGGAAGGAAGAAAGAAAAGAAAAGGAAGGAAGGAAGGAAGGAAGGAAGGAAGGAAGGAAGGAAGGAAGGAAGGAAGAAAGAAAGAAAGAAAGAAAGAGGAAGAAAGAAAATTCTCACACATGCAAGGCTCTTTTCCTTCAGGAACAGTGAGCCTTATCTTTATGCAGAATGGTCACCTTGGAGTCCCACGATGAGTAAAAGGCCCACACTACCCTCTCTTGGCTATTCCCATTGACACCCCTGGAAAGGGCTCCTGCTGACCATTTATGGAAAGGACTCTTCCACCCTTTCGCTATTCTCCATCACCCTCTTGGGGGTGGGGTGGGCAGGACAGGGCCTGGTGCCACTTCTTCCCATTACTGTGTAATGTGTCACCCTCCACGTGGTAGTGATGCAAGGCCATGTTTTGCACATCTAAGGTGATGGAGTAACCCGCTTGAGAATGAACTATGCCCCTTTTTTGCTCAGCTGTGAGCTCATCAGGAAAAGATGGGAGGCATTTGTTTCCCTTCTTCTGCCAAGGGAGGAGCCAGGCTCTGTGTCCTGGTTACCTGGACTTCTCCTGTCTCAGAGGAGCACTGATGCCTTTCTGTTCTTTTAAAATATTTTTATTGATTTCAGAGAGGAAGGGAGAGAGAGACACATCAATCATGAGAATCCTTGATCGGCTGCCTCCTGCACACCCCTGCTGGGGATCGAGCCCACAACCCAGGCCTGTGTCCTGACCAGGAATCAAACTGTGACCTCCTGGTTCATAGGTCAACACTCAATCACTGAGCCACAGTGGCCTGGTGGATGCCTTTCTTTTCAACAGTCTCTGCAGGAGTACAGGGCTCAATGCCCTGGAATGATGAGGGCTCTGTGGGCTAAAAGGGGGGTTGAAGAGGCTCTCATCCAAGGCTGGCCAGATGGAAGGAGGCTCAACCCGCCAGTCCCTGGGCTGAAGCTCTAACCATTGAGCGACCCAGTCAGGGACCCTTATCCAATTTGCCCCATTGTGAACATGTTCTATCTCCACAGGTACATTATATTAACTAAACTCCAAACTTTATGTGGATGGTACCGGTCTTTCCACTCATGTCCTCTTTCTGTCCCAGGATTTCCTCCAGGGAGAACATGCCTTTAACCATCACCCAGTACCCTCTATGCTGTGACAGTTTCTCAGTCTTCCCTAGTTTTTCATGACCTTGACATTCTTAAAGAGTACCAGCCAGCTCTCCTGTAGAATGCCTCCCAAACTCGGTTGGTCAGATATTTTTTTCTCAGGATTTAGGCTCGTGATAAGGAGTTTGGGGGAGAATACACAAGGTTCTATCACATCACATCACATCACATCAGCGGGTCCATGATACCCACGTGACATCATGGCTCACGTCAGCCCTCCTCCCTGGGTGAAGGTGGTGCCTGCCACGTCTCACCACTGTGAAGGTACTATTTCCACTTCCCTCCTCAATTCTTCATAAGCCATCCGGCATTTTTTAAAATTCGCAATAGCAAAATAAAGAAGGGTAATGCTACTCGCAACCGAGTATCACAGAACGCTCCTTGCTTATTATATTTACATTTGCGCAAGGGTTTTCTTGAAGCCCTCGGCCAAAAGTAGCGACTCTCCCGGTAGGAATTTCAGGCTCTGTGACAGTTGGGTGTGGGCGTGCGGGCTTGGGTGAGAAATGCAAGCAGCGTTCTCAGTCCTACCCCTAGAGCAGAGCCTGGCTCCTCGGCCTAAATATAGGGCCCGAGCACGGGGCAGGGAGTCTGCGCACAAAAGCTGGGTACAGATTTGAAAACTTAACACGCCTACACACGGACGAGGGACCAGCCTACCACTTCTTTTGTACCGCAGCGTGTGAGTTTAGAAGGGGTGGGAATTGTTTACTCGGGACAAATGAAGCCTCTTTGGCTGAGAGTGTAATTAAGGAGGAAGATGGCTTGCCTTCTGTTTCAAGTCCAAAGCGTCCCTAATGAGACAGTCATTCCCTTTCAAGAGCAAGACCTTCCCTGCGCCTTTGAGCTGCATGAGGACGGGTATAAGCACAAGCAGCCAGCCTCCAGCTCAGTGTTCGTGCTCACCGTCTGGAAAGATGCTGCCTGCATCATCCGGTTGCATCTGTTTCAGCGCCAGGTGTTCCCGGAGGGATCTCTTCTTCTCCCAAGCACTTCTGATGACCGAGAGAGTTGTGGATTTTCAGGATTAATGCTGTAGACCAGGGGTCCTCAAACTTTTTTTTTTTTTATAAAATATATTTTATTGGTTTTTTACAGAGAGGAAGGGAGAGGGATAGAGAGTTAGAAACATCGATGAGAGAGAAACATCGTCAGCTGCCTCTTGCACACCCCCTACTGGGGATGTGCCCGCAACCAAGGTACATGCCCTTGACCGGAATCGAACCTGGGACGTTTCAGTCCGCAGACCGACGCTCTATCCACTGAGCCAAACCGGTTAGGGCGGGGTCCTCAAACTTTTTAAACAGGGGGCCAGTTCACTGTCCCTCAGACCGTTGGAGGGCCAGACTATAGTTTAAAAAAAAAACTATGAACAAATTCCTATGCACACTGCACATATCTTATTTTGAAGTAAAAAAACAAAACGGGAACAAATACAATATTTGTATTTGCATGTGGCCCGTGGGCCGTAGTTTGAGGACCCCTGCTGTAGACAGAACGTCCTTCCGTGGTTGGACTCAGCAGAAAGGCTATGAATCATTCAGAATATCTCAAATGACAGTCAAAGTAGCTATTGGCACACTGCAGACATTGTTTATTGGGCTTCTGATGCGTAGAGAAGCAAGGAATTCAGCGACAGATTTAGGGCCATAAAGCATGGCAATGTTTATTCACACATTGTGCTGTTGAAATTAAAATGTAGTTCCTTAAGTCTTTGACTTGGGTCCCTAACAGCCATCATCTCATAATATCCCTCCCCCGTGGGTGTGTGGACGCAGTCCTGCAGGTCAGAGTGGAGCACAGAGGGACGGACGTTTTTGGAAAGAGCCAGGAGAATGGGAAGGGGGTGGGCGTGTTCTGAGTTCAGGAGGGCCCCGCTAAGCACCCCGAGGCCCCCTCAAGATCAAGGCTGACACTCACCTCCCACGTCCGCCTCCACCTGGCTCTATTTCAGCCTTTTCTTTTATTCGACACCTTTTGCTAGAAGGAGGACTGCTGGGCCGAGGGTGAGGATAAAACTCTGCTTCTGTACCTGAGACACTTCTGGTTGAGAGGGGGC